CTTCACTTTCTAACCTTCCCAGAATTTCATCTAGTTATTTGATGTTAACAAACAGACTGCGGTCACCAAATAAACAGATTCAGAATCTTTAATTAGTAATACGACGTTCATAAAACTGTTAGCAATTCACTGTGTACATACAATAATAAAATAACTGGTGAGCACTATTTTGGTGTTACTTGTCAATATGCAGTAAAACCTTGTTTGTGATTTGGTCAGTGATTTCAGATTCTGTTAACAGAAATTTATTCGAATGGGTTTTGTGGAGATTTATTTATTTGTTAACCCTATAACAGACACATCATAAACTAGTATTAACCACGACATATTTTAGTTACCGTGCTCAAAACATGCTCAAAAATGTATTGCTTTACTTATAAAGAATATTTGGCTAATTTATGTGGCGCTCACAGTAATTTTATACACATTTCCTGTATATGTTCAGAAAGCGAACAGAAAATGTTATCAATGTCAATTGCTACTCACATAATTTTTCTTTCTCAGATACCTTACATAATAATGTATCATTTTGGTCAAAAACGATTATGCTTATAATGGGTAGAACTGTTTACGGCTGTCTATTCGCAAGTTATAAGATATTCATGGATAGCTTAACGCTCAATTGCTTCAACCTACAATTTATAAACTACTAACGCCCGTGTTCATCACTGCCATAATTAGAGAGGTGTGTCATATTTAAGTGATTTTAGAGCCCATTTTTGCTTGGAACTCTGATTTCGGTCTATTTTTGACTTCATAAATAATAAATTTCACTTGTCTGAGTTTGCATTGCTACAAACACTCACTCAAGTTATGCGCAACAAATACGTCAAACTACTAATAGACTGCAATAAACGCTATGTAACAAACACAAAGATTACGAAAATTTACGTGTGATGGAAAAAATGCTCTTAATATCTGATAAATAACGACATCCGAAATCCTCAACAACATGTAACATGTAAGCGAGAACCCGTGGCATAACTTATTGCCCGTACTTACCAGCTGTCACAAAACACTTTGAAATAGCAGTTATTACTCGAACGGTTCAAATAATTAAAAGTGCAATAGAAGCTTTCACTTACTGTGCTTCCGATATCCAAAACTTTTGCATTTGAATTTTTCGGTATCTGTTTGCTTTCGGGTATTCGGTAATATATAACTGATGATAGTCTAACCATTTGACCGCACTAAATCTAGTCAGTTTCGTTGTTGTTTGTGAAATTTTATATCTTGTAATTCGATTCGATGCGTTTGTTTCAGGGAAGTATGGTGTAAGGATGGCTCGTTGACAAACTTAAGGAAGCTTCAAGAAATCCGGAAAGAGCCGAAGGCATTCCGCCCAATCGCCAACAGAGGAACATTTTAGAATGTCGACGTGTGGCTTCCCTATGGGATGGGTAAGAAGGACCCCCTATGTGCATATTGGCTGTCCGAGATTATGATTTACTTTCAGCTAAAAACCATTAATACATGAGATGTTTGTACTATATGTGATACTGTGTTGGGAATAACATTCCTACTAACTAGTCTTCCGTTTTCTCTTGCGACATTGCGGAGTCGATTGTTCAAGTAGTCTAGTAGTACGCGGCATGACAAGAATCAAAAGCTTTAGATATAACATAGGGTTTCTAAATACTAAGAGCTATCAAATTACCAGTCATAGAGTTGGTTCTTTGGAGTGTGGAAAATAATGAAGTGAAAGTTCGAGTGATAAGAGAAGACAATTGTTTCATGAAAGGAATAGGTAAGTTAATTGTTTGGCAATGCAGACAGTGTGGCAGGGCAAAAGCGTGAAAATGAAAGCGGAGATTGACATGATAATAGACGAGACGGGAATTAATTACCGACGCTTGATAATGATAACAGTATGTAGCTTATGAGACGCGAATCAGACACATCTGGTCCAAGTGGGTGGCGCTAATCCGTAAATGACTGTGAGTTTGTCAAGTCTCCTCCTAAAGCCGTGAACTGTGAGGAGTGTGGTCACTCTGGCTAGGAGGGCTTTTCAAATGGGGGCAACTCCCAGTGAGGAAAAGTGAGAGCCAACATGATTGTTCGTTCTTTGATGTGCAATATTTTCAGGTTTGCCTCAAGGAGCGTAGTGATGACGTTCTGGTAATGCACTCTCGTCGGGTGATTTGAGGTAATTAATATGTTGTATGCCATTATCAATTCTTATTCTCCAGTGGCTTAGAGACAATGATCCCATATGTGGGAGTTCGTCCTCGTAAGATTTATGTTTTAGGTCTATCACTGATTGGTCGCGTATCTCTGTACCTGGTTTAAGAGATCTGTGTCACTTTTGAAGGGACAGAGCGCATCGATATTGTGGAATTCAAGTTTAGGCTACGAGCGTTTTAAACAGTGTTAGGAAGAGTTATGCGGTGACTACAGCAGTTTGTCTTTGCGAAAATGTAGAGTCGCGTTTACCTACGCTGTGTCTTTTAGGTAGTTTGAGCTGGTTTCTAAGCTTTTTGTGGTTACTGGCAAATATCGTGCTCTAAATTGGCGGTTGTTGAAGATTTGGCCGAAAGTTCTATAGTGAAAATTATCAAAGTTAGTAGTGCGATCCTTTGCTTTAAAGCGTTTTCATCACAGAGTAGGATTTTAGGTCATAGAAGACGAGAATACCCGAATCTTTTTCAATCTGGAGTACCATTAGCGTTTATTCGCCTGAAATGTATATGTACTTTGCTACACTTCTGAGCTCGACTATTTCACGCTTCGAAGTGTTGAAAGTAAGTCCATTGTTATCCAACCCATTATGTATTCGGGTCAGCTCCCCTTGAATTTCGCTTTATCATTCTGTCTGCAGATTTACCTCAAAAGTTTAACATCCTTAACCGAAACTATTAAATCGGAAGATAATTTCTAAGGAAGATTATCCACGGAAATAAAAGAGATGAGTTCAAGGGGCTTCAATCCTCCTAACGTAACTTTTCTGAGCACATGTGTATTGGGTTAAAACTCTACTGAGGCTTGGTTCACAAACCTCATTGAGGATCTGGGATTATTCAAAAATGTGAAGTTGGCAAATCGTTGGAAAAACAGCCAGTCGCCATCACGCTTAGACTAGGTATTTTCAAATGAAAAATAGCTAGTCGACAACCTCTCAATTCTGGCTTCTCTGGGGAAAAGCGATCACGCCATTATATTCTTCAGTTCTGTCAGCAAAACTGAGCTAAGTTATCACACTAACAACGGGCACTAGAATTTCAAATGGTTGAAGGTGACAGCTTTACAGGACCGTCTACATCGGGTGGATTGGGATTTTCGACCCTTAACTTGAAGTGGATACTCATTGTGAAATATTACTTCACACGATCTTATGTGCTGCAAAGCATTCACTTGTTCAAGCTATCCCCGAAATCTACAACTAATCCACAGTCATAAAGAACCGCAATCTTCGTTTACTAAGCTGCAAAAGGCACTGTGGGGCTGAATACAAACGAACTGATAACAACAGCGCACACAGGCAATACAAACATATAAGTAACATAAACACAAAGACAATAAGAGAAGACAGGGTTCAGTAAAAAATAAAGCTTATTGATAAATTTGTCTCCCATCTGAAAGTCCCATATCGCCATAAAGCCTCTCTTCGAAAAGTCAAAAATGGAATTTCCCAACTGCTAGATTCTAATGGTTTGACCAGTAACGACGGCGACGCCTCTAACCTTCTGGCTGAACATTACTCTATGACATTTCAACCGACCCGCATCAACTATACTGATGAAAGCTTCATTTGCAACAACAACGCTTTGCGTGATGTTCTCACACTCGCTAAGCGAGGAAAACTACCGAAAATTCGAAAGCTTGCTCACATCACATCAATTTTCAAAGGATATCTTATCAATAAGCTCAAAAATAGGTATCAAATCACTTCATATCTAAAAAATTGACATTTTAAGGTTAGGGTTAACTTCAATTTCTCTCAGGCTACTGAATGTCCTAGTGAGGTTTCCCCAGGGTTCAGGACTAGGGCCTCTTCTTTTAATTTATATAGACGGTCTCCCACAACATGTATTGTCAGACATTACCGGTTGCTGATGATGTGAAACTTTGGAGAGAGATACGATACCCAGAGTATATACTGGCATTTCAGGACCATTTGATTTGACTTCAAAGTTGGGTAGATGACAACGGATCTACCTCTAACGTTTCAAAGTGTTAGATAGAACATCTGAAAATTTTTGCAGACTACAGCTGCTACTTAGGTGACTCACCTCTAGAGGTATCCCAAGTTGAAAAACATCTAGGAGTGTTGGTACCACACGATTTGAAGTCTTACGCTAACTGTGACAAAAGTTTCTTTGGAGCAAATCTTACACTGATAAAATTGAAACGCATTTCCACATTGTCTTCAACAATTTTATCCGTTGCCATTTGGATCACGGAAACGTAGTATTTCCTACCTCACTTCAAAAGGATAAGGGAATTCTAGAACGTACCCAACGGAAGACCGTGAAATCAGTTAGGGGGTTGAAATTTAAGTCTTATGGAGAGCACCCCCAATCACTGAACCTTCACCCTTTGGAGGAAAGGAGTCTTAAAGGTGACCTTCTAATGGCTTACAGCATGGTATATGCTTCTGAACATCCCCTCAAACACTTACTTATGCATAGTCCTACACAAATCTCAGGGGTAACACCCAGAAACTGAAGACACAACTCAGCAGAACTGACTGTAGGCACACTTTATACTCCTTAAGAATAGTCGAATGCTGGAATTGTTTGCCGGTTGAGCTTGCTCAAACGACTTCCCAGGAGTCCTTTAAAATACAACTTGACAAATTCTTAAGAACTACTATGATTTATCATTTTTTTCATTTTTCCTCTTTTATAGATAATATACCTAGGTTCCTGCCTGGAGGTATCGGTGATCCACTGCTACTAGACGCGGAAGCCGGTTAAGTGAAAGCTACTTCTATTCCGTCCAAAACCATTTGGACCATTTGACATGTTCAAACAGTGGGTAGTTTAACGCTACTCAAGGTCATGAAGAAATCCCTCAATCCGTTTGATGAAGATGAGCCTGGGGGTCTTTCTTCTTCCTCTAAACCACCAAATTGGCAATACGCAGGGACTGCATCACCCGGGAGAAGCGAATTGCAAGTAGGCTTGTTTATAAATGATAAGAATTGGTATCTGGGATTATCACTTATAAAACATTGACATTATATAATTGAAGACCAAGTGGAATTACTTCATATGACCCAATAGTCCTTATGATGGTGATTTTAATAGGGTTATGTTAGAAGGAAAGTTAGAAGCGGCAAAACTAAGACCGTCAGTTGAATAAATCACTAACTGCTAAACTGAATCGTATTGATGGCACATTAGAATGGCAGTTTATAGGTCTGTCTATTCTTATTATTGTAATTAGCATCTTTTGTCTAAATAGCCACACTTTAACTACTCGAAATAAAATTCGACGAACTTAATCTCCCTTCTGCTTATTGCGACATGTCCTCGTGACGTCGACAAGCTTTTGCTGTAACCACTATAAAGGATGGGTTCTACACGGATTCTTCGTTATCCCATAGTCTTAGCAAAACGTATGTTTTTTAAAATGTTATTCTCACCCACTGATGAAAACCTCTTATGCTTTTGTCGTATCCAAGCTGGTTAATATGATTAACAGGTACAGAGATGTTACTCAAATCTAAGTATTCAAACATGTGATTGATTACTGAACCATATTTGTTGAGAGTGTTCGCGACTGTCGTCGTTCCACGTAACTGCACACAACCCAAAAAACCTTTAATGTCCTATATACATAGTAAAAATTTGATACCACATCCACCATTTCACACATAATTAGGGTTTGTTTCTGATTACAATTCGCCTTCGATATGAGTTGTTCAGTGCTTCAGTAGATAAAAGTGTTTTCATTCGTAAAGTTAGACTATATGTTGACTACAGTATATATCACTTTTAAAATATTTTAACCACCGTAGATCGGCGGAATTAATCTAATATTTATAGTTTGGACTCATTTGATTTTGATTATCCTCATCATATCGACACAGATTGAATAAACTTTTTTTCTACTATTCAGTGTCAAATTTCAGGTAGTCAGTCAAGAACAAAAGCTAGCCAACAACGTGCATTATCCAGTATATACAATTCAGAACAAATTGGTGTTGCTGCAGCCCAAGAACTTATTGAACAAGGAGAAAAATTAAATCGTGCTGAACAGAAACTTGAAGAAATTAGTGAATTACAAAAAGACAGTCAAAAGAAAATTAATACTTTATCTAGTGTTTTCGGTGGATTTAAAAACATTTTTTCTCGAAGGTAAGTAAAAATATAAATGTAAGCCATAACAGAATATGATTTTATTTGAGAAAACTAGATACAAAGTAATTTATTCATGTTATCTGCTTTCCACGTTTCTTTTCTATTATTTTGACTTCCAATAAAACCATCGATGTCTTTGAAAATGAAAAAGGTTTATGTTAGATGAGAATCCTTACTAAATATCCAGAAAATGAGTAGTTTGAAGTCACGTCCATTACTTTAAATCATTTTATTAACTATACTTTAATATTTAATCTCCATACAGTAGGCTTGGATGTGATTCTGAATTATTGTTGCTATTACTAGGTGGTGTATTTTCTCTTATGAACAGTATTCATAATCATTAGCAAATTAAAAGTTTATTTACTGGTGATAAGCCATATTTATCGTATAGTAAGGTTAGTTAAATAAGTTTTGTCAGAATGAGGTTTTGTGGAGTTTGTAGTAATTTAATAGTTGGATGCAGGCTCAGTGGTCTAGAGGTTAAACATTCACACGCGAGGCCGAAGGCCCTGCGTCAGAATCCCGCATGCGGGATCGTGGATGCGCGTCCATTGCTTCCAGTCTTTCAATAACGGTCTAGCTTAACTCGTGGATTCTACTATTAAATGGGTTTTGTTTCCCAAAATTTCAATAAATGATGAAATAGATTAAGGATTTTGTTGGTTCAGTAGTTGAAATTCAAAAATGAATCACATGCGAATTTAATAGTTTAAGGTTCCAGTAGAAATTTTCTGCACCTTAATCTCTCAACATATCACATTTAATGTGTTTAGTTTAATCACACTTTTTATATAGGCGGTACATTTTCTACTTCTCTCTCAGATAATATTCAGTGTATGTATTTTTGTATATGTATGCATGAAATTTCAAGTACAACTCAATTTACTTGGATATTATAAGTTTTTTAATCTTTTTTTGTTTAAAATTATATCCTTTACTCACGTCAAATTTGTCAATTAGATTTTTTTCAAAATTGGTTTATCCTTCTTCGTTCCATTTATCGAATTCGATGTAGGACTTCTAAAAATAATCTTTCTCTCTTTGGATTAAAACCCTTATTTACTAAATATCAATGCTGTCACATCCAAAGTACGGGAGGTTGTTTTGCTCAGTTCAGTTATTTAGTGAATGATAGAAATAGGCTAATGTGATAACTTATTCAAACGTAATGTTACCATCTCATATTCTGAATTTTACTAAAAATGGGATTACTAGTTTGAGACAAACATCACATAGTCGATTACAATTTTGCTGTAAAATGTTCATGTTCCACGTCTCACCTCTGAAAAGAACCGAGTAACCACAACTTTTGAATCTTGGTTGAAATCATACCTACTCGTAGTTTATTTCCTTTGAACAGGACATATACCTGTTAAATTTTTTATTCTGTCTACTATTCGGAAATCAACCGGATATGTGTGTATACACATGTATATAATTTTGTCTAATCAGTTAGCGCTAAATAACTAAGTACATTGAAAAGTAAATTGATGAAGTCATCCTTTAGTAGTAAAGATGATCAACGGATTTTTCATTTATGTATCCCATTATTTTGTGCCTTGAGGTACAATATTGATTACAGTGAGAGCATTGTAGATGAGATCTTATAGTTTCAAACTGAAATATAATATCAAGTCACAAGTTTAGTGATTATTTGATACATAGGATCTCAGTTGGTATTTGAAAACCGTACGTTAATTGATAATTGTGCATATGAACTCCATTTTTATTACAATATGAAAAATAATCAACTTCTAGTGGTTGTTATATCCCCCGGTGAATTACGAATGGCAACTTTTAGGTCTATTTATGGATCAATGTAATATGACTATTTCCTATTGTACAATTATTACGTAACTGAACTATTCATATTCGTATTTCTCTTATCATTAGCTTTATTTTGACCTTTGACTTATTATCATACGATTCTTGAGTTATCATCAGTTTGTTGATTACTATTCACAGTCACATTCGGCTAAATATTGTACAAATGTTATTTTTTATTTTATGGGTCGATATGGTTTGTTTGGTTGGTATATAAACTCAGTATGTTCGAAATACAATTATTCATACTACTGAGGTTGTTATTGGTGTTTTGGACTTAACTGGCTGGGCTAAGCAGATCGCAGGACCGGTTAACACTCTAGTCTGCTCGTACGGGTTTCGTGTCACTGTTCCAGTCGATAATTCGCTGCTCTCTAATTGGCGGTCTCATCAAGTCACCCATTAACTAGTCATCTACTCGGCCACAAGCATAACAGGTTTTTTTTTACATGTTCAAGTTTTGAAGTCAGATTTACTCACTGTCGAAGTCAAATTTTTTGCATAGTCAAGTTTCATCAATAACGATTTTAAAGATGGTTGGTAATTAATAATACGGTCTGAGGACTCATCGGTCATAATCTACAAATTACACAACCATTTTGACTTTCTGATCAACTTACTGTAAATTACTACTGATTAATGTTAATTTTAATGGGTTATTTTCCGACAGACAATCACAACCTGTTCCTCAAAGCTCCTCCGTGATGGACAAGACGTTGAATAATAGAAACCAAAGTAATCTGAGACAATCAATTCAGTGTGAAAATTCATGGGGCAATCAGTACACAAGTACATTGCAACAAAAAGCGATTGTAAGTTATTAGCATATCTCATTGAGACAATTATTACTATATATTATTTGAAAGTGAACAACTTGTTCACCTACATCACTTGTTGACTACCATCATCTAATAATAATAGTTTATTCATCACTATAGATTTTATTACAGTGGGAATTTATAAGCATTACCATCTGAATTGAATTCTTCCCAGGATCCTATTATTACATTTATGTTTGGAATAAAAGATAGGTGTGTGAAGTCAACATATGCTAAAGAATTGCTACCTCCTTGGTATGCACCTATCAAGTTTAATAGTAATTACTCGCAAGCTATGTGACGCTAATCAAAGCAATCACCTTGACACATGCTACTAAGAGCGTGACTACGCAAAGAAGCTTTAAGTCAGAAAGTAGACGTTATTTTCCACTACATGAAAATTTTTACTTTGTTAAGTATTCTATTTTATGTGGAAAGGTAACGGCGTACTCATCTTAATCATCCAAAAGATTCAAAATCATAAATCGTCAAACTCAATTGCTTTTACAGAAAGAAGTGCTGTTTGATGAGTGCTATATGAGTTTTGCAGCGGTCTTCATCCTTGTTATAATTGTATTTTTGCTAATAAAGACGTCCCAGCTATTCCTATTGCTTAGTATTCTTATACGATGACACTCAACAGGACCCCAAAATCAGAACACGTTGAACAGGAATGAAATTGCATTCAAAATAATAATGATAAGTGAACAGCAATCACTGATTTGAATAACGTTCATATATTAATAGTATATACATAAGAAGCTTCTAGATTTTTCTCCAATAATATGCCCGGGCTGATCGGTTTATAATTAGCCAATCAGCGCGCAGCAACATCATCATGCATAAAACATGCTTTAAACCAATCTATGTCCCACTAACAATCCTCATTATCTATCTGTAATAAAGTGCTTCTTAGGGTATTTATATGATAATAGATAGGTTACTGAGGAATGGGGTTAAATTACGACCTCTGGATGATAGACTTCTCTATTCATGGACAACCATTTCTGGACTATCTGTGGTCGAGCCTAGAATCTCTGACTGATAATGTCTCGGCTAAGGCAAACTATCCTACCACTGATGAATTCACTTCATTTCCGTTAATATCATATCTATTTATCCTGTAAATAGGAACCCAACAACACCTTGAAATCTGCAGATGCTGAGTTTGAAAACAATTTAGCTTTGATGGGCGATGGCATGTCTCGATTAAAAAGTTTAGCTCAAGGTATGCATAATGAATTAAGAAATCAAAATGATCAACTTGATCGAATGGCACCGCAAATTCACCGAGTCACTGATACTATGTCAAATCAAAATCGTCAAATGAACAAATTATTAGGAATCCGACCAAAATAAACTGTTACTTCTTTCTTTTCTTCTGTGATTTCACTTTCTTTTTAACTAAGATATTAATGCAGTAAATGCTGATGCACCGGTCTTGTTTGAGTATTTTGTTCGAAGAGACCTTTATTTCTGTTAATGTTTGATTAGTTCTTTTTTTGTTGGCTATTCCCAACTGATTACATGTACACAGTTTGTTATTTAGTTTATGTTAATTGATTTATTGTTATTTTTTAATAAACTATCAATATTCTCTTTTCTTATACATAGAAATAGTAACTTAGTTGGTGAACTATAAGGAATTTTGTTAAGTAGTTTCAGTATGGTTAATCGATCTTTGTAAATGAGGAACTATTTAAGAAAAAAACAGATGTCCATTTCCAATCCCAATAAAGGTATAGTAGAACAAAGCTGATAGTTATTGAAGCATTAACGAACAAAATTCCTTTGCGAATGTTGAATAGTTGAAGAATCAAAGTCGCCAAGATTGAAACAAATAATTTCAATTAGGGTGTAATTAGTCAAATATGTTGTTATATCTAGAGCTTTGATTCTTCCTATGCCGCGTACTACTAGACTACTTGAACGATCGAACCCGCAACGTCTCAAGTAAGAAGACAGAAGGCTAGTAAGTAGTAATTTTATTCCCCAGAACAGTGTCAAAATATAGTACAAAAATCTCATGTATTTATAGTTTTTGGCTGAAGGTAATTCATCATTTCGGACAGCCAATAGGCACGTAGGGGGTCATTTTTATCCATCCAATAGGGAAGTTACACGTCGACATTCTAGAATGTTCCCCCAGTGGTTTACCAACGAGCCATCCTTACATATGTTATTATATATTTAAACAAATATGTTCTGTTAATTGACATCCTAGTTTAACGTGTTAATTGCTCGCTTGAAATAAATAAATTCCATCAACCAGTCTCATTTTTAGTTGAGTAGTGGAACTCTAAATTCAATTTGGTTTAGATTTGAACTTTTGACAAAATCTATCATAAGTATAGGTTGATAGCATTTTAGTTGTACAGAAGATGGTTGAGAAAGTGTATTCAGCTTTAACATGTAATGACTGGTGTTACTCACCTATTTATTTGAACAATGTAAAAAATAAACGTATAAATTTGGCAATCAGATGCGTAACCACAATACCATTAGTTATTCAATATTCACTTATATAGTTAATTGTAACCTTCTACCAACGTACGTATTCATATACACACTTGTCGGTATTTACGTCTTTTAACTTAATTATCGATTGTCTACTTAAACGATATATAAACACAATTATCAACTTGTACTCGGAGCTGACTAATTCAATGTTTCACTTTTAGTCTATCAGCTAGTAATAACCATGTACGAATTTTACGTATTGTCAATATATTTCGTATCAGCCTTTTTTAACATTGGGTCATCTAAATAGGATCAGTCTAAAGTACAATATACAAAAACTAAGCATTTAAATATTTTACTGAAGTTAAATGTGCTATCATAAACTCCATTACGTCAACTAAGTGCACTTTTCAACAAGTTTTTGCATAATATCCATTATAAAGTGTGAGCTAATCTCATTAATCAGAAGGGGATTTGTGGAGATTTCATAGTTGAAATCATGAGTCAATTAAAGCTAGACTACCATGAAAAGCCCGGAAGCACTGGAAGGCCGTTTCGTCCTATCGTGGGACTCTTCAACAGTGAGCATCGACGATCCCGCCTCGCGAGATTCGGGTGAAATGGTGACTTTGTAGTTAAAGTATTCAGCTGAACTATCGGGTCTTAGGTTTTAACCTATCATTTCGTCTGAAAAATCAAGTAATGTTACAAGCCTTAACATTCAGAGCTAAACACATACGCATGTAATTGTTGGTAAATGATTTACATTATCAATAATTCAAAGAAAAGATGTATGCAAAAATGTATTTTAGAAAAAGAATTGTTTAAAGTATAAATCATATAAACTAAATTAAAAGTTAAATTGAACATTTGTTATCCATCAGTAGACACATGTGAATAACTAACGTTCCAAAAAGTAGACCGGTATCAGAATAGAAATTCAAGTTTGTGAGAAAAAATGAAATTGATATAAACAAATGAACACTTATGATGACAATCATTCATTAACAATATCATATTACAAAAAAAAAAACTGTAATATCAATCTCTTACACATGATGATTATAGTCTATTAATTAGTCAAATTAGTAGTATCTATGGTAAGAGAAGGATAGATCTTTGAATCTAAAGTCCATGTTGCACGTAATTCAGAATTTGACATTTTACAATCATGTTCAATTTCATTGTTATTATCATTAGAATGTAAAGTATTATTGATTGATTGATTATCTTGTATCCAAAATGATACATTATTATTTTGAGTATTAATATGAACAGAAGTATTTGAATAATCATTTTGAAGTTTTCTAGATAGAATACGACGTTTCACAGGAAAACATCTTTGAATTGATGTATTATTATTAATTAATGGAGCATGTAAACTAGTTTCACACTGTGATAACGTTGAACTATTGACTTGTTTTGATGAAGTTGACAGTCTTTTCTCTTCAACAACAGTTTCCAGGCATTTGTCAGTATGAGTTGTTTTGATGTTTCGAAAGTTATTTATATCAGTACAGACATTGGTACTTTTTAATGCTGAATATGAAAATCATAAAATGAAAGGGATATTTTTCAGTTAAATATTATTATGTCCCGATAACAATAGTGAATGGTAACTTTGGGATCCATTTATGGAACAATATTATGCATATATTTTTTATCGTATAATTGCTACATAATCAAACTATTCATACTCATGTTCCCCTTATTATAAGCTTTATTTTGATCTATAGACTATTATTATACGATTTACCATTCTTGATTTATCCCTAATCTATTAATTACTGCCTCCCGCATTCACAGACACATTTGACTAAATCTTGTACAAATGTTATTTTCTGGTACAATGTGGTCTGTTTGATTGATATATAGACCCAGTATATTTGAGAATAATGATTCATACCGCAGAGGCTGCTATTGGTTTTCTGGACTTAACTGGTTGGGCTAGGCAGAAAACAGGACCGATAATTACTCAAGACTGCTCGTACGGTTTCCGTGTGTCACTGTTCCAATTGATAATTCGCTGCTCTCCGATTGGCGGTCTTATCACGTCATACGTTAACAAGGCATCCACTCGGCCACAAGATATAACAAATATTTTTTAACCCCCCCCCTATATTTATATATTGAGAATACGTTTCGATTTTTTCCAGAAAACTATAATCAGCTCCTTATGAGTTTAAATAAATCACAGTTGATAGGGCACTCAAAAGATCAAATTTGTCTGCATAAAACTCACATTATCAAATACCTTTTCATACAATCAGAATAAATAATCTCATAATGACATATGTATTGTCGGGTGTACAATTGAGTGTATCATTTAGACGTTTGACTAATATTTACTTCATTAGTTTGTAAGTGGTTAGAGGTTTAAAATCATCGTGCTGGTAAGGCATTTGACTAATGGTATTCAAATAAAATTCTAAAAAGTTTTGATGAATAATTCTTTGCTGCAGAATAATAGGTAAGCAATCATAAGGAGACGAGAATACCATTCTCATAATTACTCCAAATAATGGCCAGTATTATTGGCATATTTTGATCACGGTTACTCTGGATAAAGCATCAGGGGTTCTACTAAGACACTAACTGTATATATTAATACCATTCATTGAGATATTGAACCAACTTAAGTTGGACCACCATTGAAAGCCTGTAAGCACTGAAAGGCCATTTCGTACCAGTATGTTACTCTTCAGGAGTGTAGTGAATTACCCTGCACGCAGTAATCGAACATAAGACCTTCGGTCGCCCGCATGAAAGCTCAACCTCTAGATCACTAAACATCCACACAACGGCATTAATATCTAACTTTACTAGACTTCATTGGGACAACATCCTGAGTAGCGTAGGAGTAAAACCCTAGTGACATTTCGTGGCGCGAATTCAAGTCTGGAGAGCACCATCGATTCCCCTAAGATTGTAGATAAGACTTGCTGACAAGTACCCACTAACACTAAAATTAAGTCCAAAACTTATTGTTGATCGGTCTTAATCATCAAACGTGAGACCAAAGTGAGTGACGTTAGATTTATAGGTCTAGGGAAGGATGATTAATCGATTTATAAAGTTATGACTCCTCATTGGCTGAGATGGCTGGGGCATCGACTACCTCAATGGAGAATGCTAGTTGGTACAGATGTAGATTGGAAGAAGGCTGAGGGCAATCAAAAAGCAACGTGGCATCAGTTCGTGAAGCCATTGACTATTGGTCTGAATAGTGTTGATAAATCTAGACTACCTGGTTAGTGTCAAGGTGATTACTGCGACCAGTCGTTGGAGACGTTATTTGAAATGACTTAGGATCGTTCACAATGGCGTAGATTTATTTACTCTTTATCTTCTTCTAGATCGTGAATTTCAGTAATCATTCATATGTATTTTTTAATTATCTTTTCCAACCACACTTCAACATTTGGTCTACCTCATTATCATTGCTACTACAGTGTTTTGCTGCCTTTGCAACTAATCTTGTCGTACCGATAAGGCACGGCACCTTGAATCAACTCACTTTTGTTCTATTCTCTGTGTTGATTATGACTTATTGAATTACTTAATCAAATATTTTTTTCATAAACAAGAATTGCTGAAATATGAATATTAATGAGAATAAAAACAATAGGCTGCATTGGCATATGGTTACTAAATTATGCGTCTCGTCAGTTAAAATTGAAATGTAATTATTAATAGGCACTTCACCAATCCAAACCATAATTGTAGTATGCAATATTCATAAAACTATTCTGCACAAAACATCAGGCATAATTATGAACTAGTGATATTATCTATTGAAATTTGAACTGAACACAAACTACCCAAGACCGTAAATTCCGAGTTCAATTTCCGCGTGAGGGGTCGCGGATGCGCACTTCTGAGTCTCATCCAAGTTGAGGGTAGTCTCCCTCTCTGAGTCTCATACTACGATGAAATGGCTTTCCAGTGCTTCCAAGTTTTCAATAATGGTCTGACATAGATTAGTTCATGATTTCATTGAATGTCCACAACCATAAACTTGTAAACGTTTTTTAATTGGAATTCCTTCTCCACGTTAAAGTACTTAAAGGAAAAAAATATTTTATTCTTTGTCTATTGCCCTATACGTCTATGTGTTTATGAAATTGATGCTAATCAATCCCAGAGTAGTAGAGGTAATAATAGTAGAAAAGATTAAGTATAGAAAGAGGGTATTAGGAGATTTTGGCACTCAGATTTTAGAGGAAAACAAAAAGTGAATGCACCTGTGAAATTGGAAACGATTCCGAGTTTTTTTATCCAAAGCCTCATAACATTGGTTATAATAATCACATGGACCCTAACCAAGTAGTTTACACCTGTTTTTACATATCGCAGTTCAATTACCAACAACTTCATAGACTGATGTCAGGTCTTATTTTGGCTGCTTCTAGCTTTTTTCCCCAGTTAACTTCTACATTAAACAACATCGCTTGTCAATGTGGGCGGTGGTTAGACATACGTAACACATATTTCGACTACCTCAGATCCACTACCAATATTTACCCAATACTTTATGCTTGAACTCAACAATGGATATATACATCCATGTTGTAGAATTCTATACAGTTACAAAACATCTATCTTCTATTTCTTGACTTTTTGATAGTCATGCTTTCATCCAATGTTCATGGATGATCGAAATTAACTTCCGGATTTCAAAAAAAAAAGATAACAAACTTTTAATGCAAAGATAAATAGCAAATTACTATTATTCTTATTCTTACTGGAAGTATGTTGATCATTTTTTGAATTTGCCTCCAATTTACAATTAACCATATTCAATGAATGATTCTTCTTATTACGATCATCATTCAATGAATCAACTACTGATGTATTATTATTACGGATCAGATCAACTTTATTACTAAAATGTCGAATAATTTTTGGTTTAATTAATTTTGATGAAAAATTATTCACTTTATTAATTGATCGATTATTGGAATTCAATAATTTATTATTATTATTATTAGTTGAAATTGATTTAATAAAATATTGATTATTAATATTTAATTGTTGTTTATAAAATTTTTTTTGTTTATATTGATCATGAATTTGATTGGATAAAATTGTTGTTTTAAATTTTGAATTATTTTTTATTTGAAATTTATTTTCATTTTGAATGAATTGATTTTTAGCCGGGAAATTAATTTGTTTATTTGGAATAATAGAATTATTTAATTTTCTAAAATAATTATACATAAAAGAAAATAGACAATAAACAATCTATTTGTTAAAACTTTTTTCAATAATATACTTATCCTAATATAAAATTTATTATGGAATACGAACATGTTTCACTTTCTTGACACTGATCTAAAATGTAAGGGGTGACAGGATAGTTCAATGTTTGGTTTATGGAAAAAGTATTTGGAATGGTCTTTACTTGGATTTCAATAGTTTCCTTTTTTTCAATCAGTTATAAGAAGCTATTGGATAAAACACTATTTTATAGGGTAGAACGGATATGTACCCCATTGACAAACTGGAAGAAGAATTGATGAACATTGAAAAGTACTTAAGGGATAACTTCTACCCACAAAAATTTATTGACAAATATAGAAATCTGAAGAAAACAAGATGGAAGGGGCTACAACCAATAAGAAACCAATGTCTATAAATCTCAACTTTAATGGTGATGACGTCGCTAACACAATCAAAAGGAGACTTGATACATCTACATCAGTCAGAACTTACCCGGCAGTCAAAGTACAGATTCTGGATAAAATATGTCCAATAACCCAATCAAATATCGAAAAGCAACCCTTTCATGTTACCGCCAACTGTATTTATAAATTTACGTGTATCTGCCAAAGCAGCTACATTGGCCGAACAGAGCATATCTTGATTTTTTTGAGGATGTTCCAGAAAGCCTCAGAACAAGAAAAAGAACGAATCTAAACAGTGCAATTACTAAACATCTGAATACAAGACATCAAGTCGATACCTTGCAATCTTTCAAGGTGATTACTAAGCAGCCAAACTCCAGTCTTCTGAAGCCGTTGCTATCAGGCGTCAAAAACCTGACTTATGTGTTCAAAAGGAGATGGTTATTAATTTTTCCTTGCCTTGGTGACAAATATTCGTTCGTTGAATCTTAATTTTTTTACTCTTTCTTGCATTTATTACATCATTGAGTTTTATTTCAACTATTTTCCAGATTAATAACCTTATTTTATTAACTGAGCTTTACTCATTTTATTCTTATCAGCGTTTACTCATTATGTAATCACCAGTTTCTGGCCGTTAGAACTGCTGTTACGATCAATATTGTAGAATTTTCTTCTACATAAGGTATATAATTACAATATTCAGCCTATTAAATTTATTTACACCCTTGCTATACTATACTAATGTGTCTTCAATATAACTTTCAACTAAACGCTTTCATGTAAGTAATTTAAACTCCTTATGTAATTATGATTTTAAGTATCACAGGTTGTAAGCAGCTGACGAGAACCGACGAAATAAGATGAATTCATGCTATTCTGCTAGAATCTTTGTTCTTGCTCTTTGCGAAATGATATAGGGAACAATGTGCAATACTGCCAATATAACAGATAGATGAGCACTGCTGAGGAATCCCATACTTGGACGAAACAGCCGTCAAGTAATTCTAGGTTTTCAGTGGTATTCTAACTTAGATCGACTCTTGAATTCAACTGTGAAAATAAAAAAATCTCTACACATTCTTGTACTGATAATATGACAGATACACTAAAAATTTACATGTACATATATATTTTCAAGGCTTATTTCATTTGGGTGCAGTAACCTTCAGAGAAGTCGTTTTGTTATGGGTATTGTAAAATTTATCATCTCTTCACGTTAAATCTCACCATTATTTGAGCTATAACAATATGAACTGAGAGGAGGTGAAGAATTATTGAAAAAATGACGACACTGAACAGTTGATTTTAGTTTGACTGGCAGTTCGTTGTCAATTCCCACATATGGTATCATACGGAATAGTAACTAAAAAGTTTCAGATCTTGTAACAATTACTATAATGTTTAGTTATTAAGTTTATATTATGTTATATCATACTTAAAACAAACAAACACAGATGCTTAAGTAAATTCACAAGAAAAATCACTTGGACCTCATTTTCTCAAAATATTAATGATTTCAGTGTCGTTGAAACCTTTTACAGATCTTCAATCACTTAAAAAGGATCATGTATTAACCAAATACAAAAAAATGGAACACATGAAGGAAGGACAAATACATTTCTTGATTGACTCACTTTTCTTCGCCAATAACGTTGTTACTGATCTGTTTATTTTTAGGTAAGGAATTGACTTGATGAGGTTGTAACTGTCGAAGGATACTAAAGAACAGGAAGAAACGAGAAAAGTAATAATTCAACACTTTGTACCGTTGATTATAATCAATATTATAAAGTTTTGTGAACTACTGTCGAATTAAGAGTTTCTCATTACGAACAGAATTTGGTCAGACAGCCATTTGAAAATCAGGGACAACTATTTTATTTTAATATAAAACTGAATTGTCAGATGCAAGCATCCATACCATCCGTACCAGGTATTGAACTTAGAATTCTTAGGCCTTTCAGTAAACGCTTAACTTTCACGCCGCTAAATTAGCATCCAATGGTTTACATTATGAAATTCAGTTAATTTGTGATATCGTACAACTAACATTCATTTTCATTGGAGATATTTGTCTTATGGGTGATATGGTTGAGCGCCACTGAACATAACTTCTTGATACACAACTTTAGGACTTAATACTTTAAGTTAGTCATTACTAAGTATAATAATTATGAGGCTAATCAGAGTAGGAGACAATATTGTGCACTTGTAAAAATATCACTGATCAATTAATATATTCAATAAATCGAACAGTTAAATTTACAACTTCTAATAGTAATAAGAGAAAAGTAATAATTATTTTGAAACAAAAAAGTACTTTAATAATTTTCATAGGGTACACTTTACGGATCAAGAAATACTTATAAACAATGGAGGTGGAGTTGAAAATAGTCGAAAGGGAATCATGAACCTATGTTTCGGATTGGTTGGGACTTGTCGACAAGATATATATGAAATCTCAAGAGAATCTAGGGGTTTCCTGCAGACAATCTTTAACCAATTAAAGTCAAAAATAGTACAAGCGATGTCGATTCGTTGGTAGATACTTTCCGAGTTGATAGATAGAGTTCAACCTAAAGTAAGGACTATACAAACAAGGATGTGAAACTAACAGAACATTCAATTATATATAAGCATTGAAACATACTTGTTTAGTTAATTATGAGAAAAACGCCAAAATTGATTAATAAGTACTTAAAATAACCAAATATATACCTATTCCCTAGATGATAGCAAAATACAAAGTAGATATTCTAAGGATGTTATCTATTCTTAGCAAATCCTTATTTCCTAAGGCGAAGGTAGCGTAGAATCACTCTAACTCTATTAGTTAACAGATAAGGAGATTGATCCCCATTTAGAAATTATTAGAGACAATTATTCAGGTAATAGCGTTAACAAATATAACAAGGGTATATTGGTTATCTTAAATAAAGAATCTTCTTACTAGAATGTTTATATTTACTAAAGCGATCATGATTAAACCTTCCTGAGAAAAACTTTTAAAGAATGGAGCAGAGGTTAAAATAATTGATTTTCAAGCATTAGAATTTGTAGGCTCAAAACCTATTCTACTTTCTTCGGTAAGGGTAGTTAATCACTTATTACCAACATAGAGTTTGGTGCATATGTGCATCGACAGAGCAATGTGAACCTATAAAGACAAATGCCAGAGTAGTAGTATCTTTTGTGCTGGTAGTAGAAAAGATTAAGAATAAACAATATGATTCAATAAGAAAGGATAAATATGAGAAATAAAAAGTATAACATCGTTTCCAAATCGAAGATCTGAAGGGAGACAATAAGTGAATACATCTTAGCGATTATAACCAATTTCAAGTCATCCCACCCAATGTCTACAACCACTGGTTATGATAATTAAGGAGAAAACCCTAGCCAGCTAGTGGTGGTCTACACCTACCAACACAACTCAGTCTAACAGCTAATGACTACAATGTATGAAGCCAATAACTAACCAGAACAGCTAGCTCTTTTTGTTATATCCGTACGAGAATAGATGTATTGTAACTGCTAGTAATTATTTACGGACTAATATTATACGAATATTCTTATTGTATGACCATTAAGAACTATATTATATGTATATTCACATTCCTCTTATTAGAAGTTTTTAATTGACCTATTTATTACTGTTATATGATTTAATATTGTCAAGTTATTCTCAATCTATTAGTCGCAGTCTTCCACAATTACAGTCACTTTTTGGTTTGATCCTGTATAAATATTATTTTCTATGGTCCGTTTAGTTTGTATATAAACCAAGTATATTTGAAATATATGATTCGATTCACGGATAATGCAATTACTGTTCTGAACTTAACAGGCAAGTTTAGGAGGAAAAAAAGACCAATCGGAACTCTAAACTACCCGTACTAGTGTATACGTCATATTAGTTTGGTCGTGTATAAGTGTGGTGTTTATATGAACCAACGATTCCTTTGTACTTGATGACTGCTTAAATTCAAATTCCAAATACAATACGTTCGTTCGTCCTCATTTAGTACTTTCAGATTAAATTGCATTATTTCTAGGATTCCTAGTTTATACTATAATTCAAATATTCCTAATTATCACAATAAGTCTGGAACTCAAAACAATTGTCAACCAACACCAAGATCAGAATTTTCAATACAAATGTGAAGACAGTTCTACTGTATGGGGCGGAAACATGGAGATCTACGAAAACCATTATCCAGAAGATACAGGTGTTATTAACAGTTGTCTACGCAAAATACTTCGGATCCGTTGGCCAGACACTATCATCAACAACCTACTGTGGGAGAGAACAAAGCAGATTTAAGTGAAAGGAGGCTGGAAGAAGCACTGGAAGTGGATAGGACACAAATTGAGGAAATCAGCCAAATGCGTCATAAGGCAAGACCTTAAATGGAATCCTGAAGGCCAAAGGAAAAGAGGAAGACCAAAGAACACATTACGCCGAGAAATGGAGACAGACATGAGAAGAATGAACAGAAATTGGATATAACTAAAAGAAAAAGCCCAGAACAGAGTGGGTTGGAGAATGCTGATTGGCGGCCTATGCTCCATTGGAAATAACAGGCATAAGTAAGTAGGTAAGTAAATAAAGTAATTAAGTAAGTAAGTAGGTAAGTAGGTAAGTAAGTAATCACAATAAGTCAATATATCTAAATTGACAATCGTATTTCTTGATGATAATCAATATAAACTTAAGAATATAACTTCACTTGTTATTGTTTGTTTGAATCTTCCCATTGATGTTTAGGACCGCAATTGATCAGTCTCCAATTGGCATATGTGCATACCGTGCGTATTACCTCGATATAGCCTTATTTAGCAAGCATTGTAAGCAAAGATGGATAGTGGCTAGCATTGGAATCCAGTTTAGGACGCGTTTCGTCCTATTTTGGACTCGTCAACTGGATGTACCTGCATCTCAGAGTTGATGTTCATCGCGGGACTCAAACCCAGTGACTTTCGCTTCAAACACCATCGTGTTATCTACTCAGCCCCTGACAGTCCTGACAGTCACTTGCTTGTGCAATGAGGTGAAGTTTTTAAATTCACTTAGCATTGTTTGTTTGAATCTTCCTTCTGAGATCCAGGTACATCCAGTTGGGGAATCACGAATAGGACGAAATGCGCCTTGTCCTATATTCCACTGCTAGCCACTATCCATCTTTGCTTAAGAATATAACATTTTTCATGTATAAAAAATTATAATCAATAAGTTAGACATTAACATCGTTGGATGCCGCCTAGCTTAGTGGTCTATCGGTCAAGTGCTCTGATGCGAGACTAATAGGTCTTGTGTTCGAATCTGGCGAGGCGGGATCGTGGATGCGCACTGCCACTGAGGAATGCCACAATAGGACGGAACGGCCTTCCAGTGTTTTTAGATTTTCTACGGTGGTCTAACTTCAATTGACTCATGATTTCAAGTATATATAAAAATAAATTTATAATAAATAATAAAAATGATTACAAATAACATACCGTAATGAATTGTTTGATATTGGATTCATTGAACAATTATTAATCTTAGTAATTACATTAGATGATATAGATATTAATGAAATTTGTTGTTTTAATGACCATATAAAAAATATTTCATGAATTTCATTAAGTATATTATAAAGTTTTATTAATAAATTTAATTCAAAAAATAATTTTTTATTACATAATTGTTTATTTAATTTATTCATTGATATTAATTGATTTTCTAATTTGATTGATAAAATTAATTTAGCAATATCCTATAATAAATAATTATAATAATAAAATTAATTAATTGATTTAATGAATTTAATCAATAAATCATTTGACAATTAAATAGTGAAATCAATAAATTGGACACGGTGAGTCCACCTAGAAGAGTCGGAAAACCCTGATTCCAAACCAATGGTGTACATGGGCTTCAGTATCCTGAGAGAACAAATGGTGTATGAATCAATCGTTGGTCACCGGCTACCATAGGATTGCATCTCCTCACGATGCTCCACTGCTTTGTGAACCAAACCTTTAGGTCAAAGGCTCGGAGTGTGGCCCCGTAAGGAAACCACCTGCTTCGGTCTGGGCACCCGGACAGTATCACAGCCCTCACACAAATCGAATGAGATTTGTATGGCGCATATTTATCTGATGCTTCCTTGTACCAATATTTATGTGTTCAAATAAATAAAAATAAAAAGTTTACGAGTTAATGATAACAGTGAAATAGATTACATAACTAAACATAATAAGTACAAAGTACAAATTGGTAGTGTGATGGCAGGTGTACTAGTTGTGAATTACACAGAACTATCATCTAAAAAAAAGAAAATCATACATCAAATACATAATCTACACATTTTCCAGTTTTCCTTAAAATATTTCATGATTCTTCCAATTCAGTCGGTTATTCTAATTCCTCTCTGTTTCCTTTCTTGTTCTGTACAATTCAATCTTATACTAATAGGAATTCCATTTTCGAATACTGATACATACCTACTTATATCTATCGACATAAGTAACATATACCATAATACTACTTTTTGATAACTGTTACGTAATGTTTAAATTTCTAAAAACACCATTAGATTACATCTTTTTTGTATGTAGAAATTAAATTTGAAATAATCACACAGACAGAAATCTAAATAATGTTAACATTTGGTTCGAAGAATTGCTACACACTTTTTCAAGGGAAGAAAATTCATCAAAATCCAATACGTTTTGATTTTGAATAATAGTAGAGTAACTTGATCATGTTTTATACATAACATCTTAACAATTTTCAGATTTATCACCAGTAGAATTGAGTGGAGTGGAGTAGAGTAGATAAGGGCTTAGTTTATTAAGGTATTGTCATAAAATGAAGGATAATCAAATTGAGTTCATGTTTTTTTATAGTATTGTTCAACTCAATGGTTTGATACAGTATCAGATATATCTCAGAATAAAAGTCAACAGCATAATCCAGCTGAAGGAAATTTATTTTGATAGTATTTTCCCAATGTAAATTGTATTATTTTCAGTGAGTTTTTCTCTTCCATTTTTTTTTCATAGTACTGTCCCTTGAATTTATATGACAAAGTCCTAGTTGTATTATTTATATTAAATGAACATGTAAACTTTTACAAAGTACGGACAATAATCACACAAAGTCTCAAACAAACAACCGTTAGTAAAATTGCTATGACTTTATAAAAGAAGGACGTTGCCAATTCGTTATGATTTCATGTCCGGCTTTTATTATGTGAATTATCCACCAATCGAAATACGACTTTTCTAATCTTAACACTGTGCCAAATCAATGACGTTCGACCGGTATGAGTAGTCTAGTGTCCTTATTGGTCCCTTGTCCGCCTAGCCGTTCCAATTGAGTCCAGAACACTGATTACAGCTTCTATTATGCGAATCATTTATTTCAAGCATACTCGTTTTACAGACAGACGGCATCGCACCATAAAATAGAAAATAATATTTGTACAAGATCAAGCCAAATGTCCCTGTGAACGTGGGAGACAATAATCAATAAACTGAATATAATTTAGGGACAGTAAATCGTATAATAATAATTCGTAAGTCAAAATGAAGCTTATAATAAGATGAATATAGATATACACAATCTAATCACTCAATAGTTAAACAATAATATATATAGAATAATAGTCTATTGATAGGTCTTGGAAGTTACCTGTACTTACGTCTTCACTAGGATATAACAAAAATACCTGTTTCTAACAAACTTGAATTCAAAGAGGAAGAGATATCAGGTAGAACTGATAAAAGGATTAAAGAAGCCCTGCAACCCAACTATTTTCAATGTATAACCCGACGTGTTCCTTTAACTGATTGAAAGTAGACCAATACTTTTCTCAGATCACCCTCAAATATATTTTTATGGATTTATATGTACTTGCGACAGAAAATACACAGGAAAAATTGTAAGAAGGGCATCTACAAGGTTTTCCGAACATATTAACCGAAAGTTGTGTTTAAAGGGAAATGGAGTATTCATAAGTGAAATTACTAGACATTTAATTGATAGCAGAGACAAATTAGAGACTACATAGATATTTAAAATAATAAACAGGCAAGAAACATCACTTCAACCCTACTTACGAAGCCAGTGTCATTAGCTTTTAACCTGACCCTTATATCCAGAATGTGTGGTAAACCTTCCACTGCCATAATATGTTAGCTATATTATTTCGACATTTGTCAGTTATATTACCGCTTTATTGTAGTTTATAAATTAAAATATGGAAAATCCCACTGACATTCACTCAAGACTTTAATGTTATGTCAAATAGGTCCCTTGTTTATTACTCATTCGGTAACAGCTTGTTTCCATTCATCATGTATTTGATAAACAAATTACAATTTCTCCCTCATTTTCTATGATTTCATCTCCAATACATCAAATAGTAATCGATCTTAACTGTTATGTTAAATATATTGTTTCGCTTTCTTGTTTCTTATGTCATTTCGAAATAAACTTTATGGATTACAGTATGTAAAAGGAAAATATTTTCTAATAATATTATTAGTAATGCAACTTCCCATTGATGTTTAGAACTGTGATTGATCAGTCCCTTATTGGCATATGTGCACCCTGTGCGGATTGACTCGATATTGCCTTCAGTCGCAAGCATTATAAACAGAGATGGATAGTGGTTAGCGGTGGAATCAAGGAAGCGCGTTTCATTCAATTTGAGACTCGTCCTAGATTCTACTCCTACACATAATCTATCTCTGCTTATAATAATAGTAATTTAAAGTAATATAGAGGCAATCCGTACAGGATGCACATATGACAATAAGAGACTGATCAATTGCAGTCCTAAACATCAATGAGAAGTTACAAACACACAAAACAAAATGAATTTAAAATTGCCAGTATAAATTTGGGTCGTTTGCAACTGATGAGAAGCCTTGAAATATAATGAATTTATGTCATACTGCAACTCTTGTCTTTACTTTATCTAAAATTGTAGGATTTGTATCACTTATCGATATTGGATTAGAAAGGAAATAAATTATGGTTATAACAAGGATAAATTTGATTTTAATTTGTATCTGTTTGCTAATTACACATACACAATCAAATCATTCTATGTAACGTGCAAAATGAGCAAACATGTACAGAATAGTTAACTTAATACGTGGAGATAAGATAACTCACATGTAAGATTACACAGGTGATGTGTGTCAAAAGAATGAACATTTACGATGAGATTCGATTGGTGAAACTATTGAATTATAATAATAACTAACAAGTATCTTATGATTAGAAGATGAGTGACCACATCATCGGACTTTAATCAGTAGTACACATGAACATAAAAACAAATTTCAGATAATGATTTTAATTATTATATTCCATTCACAGTATAATCATCCATTCATTGTTAACCTATTAGTCTTATAGGGTCTTTCATTTTCAAATACACAGACACAAACTCTTATTGTTAATATTTACATAATATAGTCTAGTATTATTGTGGTGTGGGTTACTTCTATCCACACAAGTAGTATATATCGGTGGTCAGGCATTGAATGTATTTCAGTAGAAGATCGATAAGGAGAGAACGGGAACGTGATGCAATCGGTATGAAAATGCATGAACAATAATAATCAGAGATTATGGACTGATATTTGCAGGAGGAACAGTCAAGATTGCGATAATTAATTGATAGTTTGCAAACTAACTGTTTACTGTATGGTTGTCAGATTTTAGTCAGAAAATTTGTAACTTACGTGTCAAATACATTCGATTGTCCCTACATGTGTTCTCATTCACTACATTATAACCTTTCGATTACATCATCATGTTTATTCAATGTTCATACATATCTTCACGGAACTAACACTTAAAAAACGCTAATTATGGATATGTATACGATGGAGAATAACTGTGGGCGGCCTATGCTCCTCAATGGGGAGTAACAGGCGTAAGTAAGTAAGTAAGTAAGTAAGTAAGTAAGTAAGTAAGTAAGTAAGTAAGTAAGTAAGTAAGTAAGTAAGTAAGTAAGTAAGTAAGTAAGTAAGTAAGTAAGTAAGTAAGTAAGTAAGTAAGTAAGTAAGTAAGTAAGTAAGTAAGTAAGTAAGTAAGTAAGTAAGTAAGTAAGTAAGTAAGTAAGTAAGTAAGTAAGTAAGTAAGTAAGTAAGTAAGTAAGTAAGTAAGTAAGTAAGTAAGTAAGTAAGTAAGTAAGTAAGTAAGTAAGTAAGTAAGTAAGTAAGTAAGTAAGTAAGTAAGTAAGTAAGTAAGTAAGTAAGTAAGTAAGTAAGTAAGTAAGTAAGTAAGTAAGTAAGTAAGCAAGTAAGTAAGTAAGTAAGTAAGTAAGTAAGTAAGTAAGTAAGTAAGTAAGTAAGTAAGTAAGTAAGTAAGTAAGTAAGTAAGTAAGTAAGTAAGTAAGTAAGTAAGTAAGTAAGTAAGTAAGTAAGTAAGTAAGTAAGTAAGTAAGTAAGTAAGTAAGTAAGTAAGTAAGTAAGTAAGTAAGTAAGTAAGTAAGTAAGTAAGTAAGTAAGTAAGTAAGTAAGTAAGTAAGTAAGTAAGTAAGTAAGTAAGTAAGTAAGTAAGTAAGTAAGTAAGTAAGTAAGTAAGTAAGTAAGTAAGTAAGTAAGTAAGTAAGTAAGTAAGCAATACGATTTGTACAACATGATAAGGAAAAAAATTGTTGAAAAAGGAGATCATTTCGTTGAATTTCATGTTTTTTGATCAGGTTAAAATCAGATAATAAATGAAAAATTGCATAATATGAATTTATTTTCTTTACACTTACTTTTACAGAACGTATTAAATCATGAACTTTGGGTGTAGCTAATAGTTGTCTAATAAGTCGACCACGAAATACAGCGGAAAGAATTGTGAAACCATGAATAATACAAGGATTTTTACACTAGAAATAAAAATATACATACATTTTGATTAGAAAGTATATACAACAAAATGAGTAGTAGGGTGATAGTATTTTGTAAACTTTGATATTATTTTACATTCGAAAATGTCTATTGAATTTACAACACTGATTGTTAGGTATGAACTGATAGTTTAAGTAGACCTACCTAATAGTCAATTAGATTTAACTATAGCGGTTTTTCTGTTTGTTTATTTGTTTTTTGACATACAAATTCACTGACAACTATAAACCACTAAATGGGCTACTTTGAATATGCCTTCTTTCAAGTATATAAGACTCCCTAGATTGGGGAGAAAGTACTATTATGAAGTGGAAACACGGTGGCATGAATGCAAAGATACGTGAGGTGCTACGTTTTTCTGATGTGAATTGTGTTGACACTGCTTTTTTTGTTTGTTCTAGGTTAAATCTTAGGTAAATCATACTATCAGTAATGGACGCGGAATATTATGTACTTTTGTAGCGTATGGATAACTAATTAAACTTGAATTAGACTGTTGAGTTGTTACCTATAATTGTCGACTGATTAACGAGTTAAAATACGAACTGAATAGAAGCTCTTTGGAGTTACTTTAAAAACTATTTACGAAATTACAAACGGGTCTGAAGAAATTATTTATTTATTTATTTAAACACATAAATATTGGTACAAAGGGGCACCAGATATATATGCGCCACACAAATCTCATTTGCTTTGCGTGAGGGCTGTAATACTGCTCAGGTGCCCAAACTGAAGCAGGTGGTCCCCATAGGGGGACAGACCTGGAGCCTTTTACCTAAAGATCTGATTCACAAGGCAGTGGAGCATCGTGAGGCGATGCATTCCCATGACAGCCTGTGACCAACAATTGGTTCATACGCCATTTGTTCCCTCAGGATAATGGAGCCAATATGCACCATTGGTTTGAAAGTCAGGGTTTTCCAACTTCTCTAGGTGGACTTTTCGTGTCCACCAACCCGGTTAAAATGCCGGACATTTGCTTTTTGTCCTCTCAATTTCGTAAACAACACCCCCCGCCACGAGAAGGCAGTGAGTAGGACTTCCCTGACAGAGGCTATATACGCGTGGCCATGTGAGAGCATTTTGAGAGGGAGAGCGGACTCTCCCCACTCTCGGCCGTGCCATGGCGGACTTAAAATCATATAGGCGAGTCTACGTATTGATTTTGAGATCAAAAAGATAATTATTAACCATGATCAATTCTAAGAATACATAAAAACACTATATATTCAAGTCTCGATACTTTTCATCAGTAGATGTTTCTTTTAAATTACTTGCGCACTCATTGGCTAATAAAATCACAACAATCGTTTTAATAGTAGTTTCATTTCAGTAGTGCAGAAAAGCTTGACTATACTCCAAAACTAGAATGTACTGAAAGGAACTTGGAATAAGCTATATTTTTCAAAGTCTCTATGTTGATTATAACAGTGATCTACGGAGTATCTATGTTTTATCGTCTTTTTTATTGTTGAGTTAATTTGATGATTATCCCAAAGCTAGTCAACAACTTATTGGATTGTTAAATATCGGTGTTACTCAATGAATGGTTGTCAGTACACCATTGTAACGCTATACTACTTACTAGTTTCAAGTAGTATAAGATGTATTACATTCATCTCAACATCTAATATGTAATGCATCGACAAGTTCATTATCACTTAGTTCACTTACTTTTAATTCCATATTTTGATCCAATATTTTCTACTCATAATTACATTACTCATTTTCTACTCCAAAGATTTTATTTTGATTGATTTATTCTTGAATGGACGATTTATTGAACAGTACTTGTTATTGTTCAGTTTTGATTATTTTATTATTTAGACACATAAACATTGATACAAGGAGGCATCAAATAGATATGCACCACACAGATTATTTGATCCGTGCGAGCGGTGGAACAGTACCTGAGAGTCCAAACCGAAGCAGTCAGTTTTGATAGTGGTCATGTACTATTTAGTTGTTCATACTCAGTTTTGTAAAATTATTAATATTTATTGATGTGAAAAACTTATTTATCAGAAGAGGTTTTGTGGAGATTTCAGTATTTTCATACTGAAATCGGTCAAGTGCTCCGGCGCGAGACTGGTAGGTCCTGAGTTCAAATCTCGCGAGGCGGGATCGTGGATGAGCACTACTGAGGAGTCCTATAATAGGACGAAACGGTCGTCCAGTGCTTCTAGGTTTCCCATGGTGGTCTAGCTTCAACTGACTCATGATTTCAACTATGAAATACTTATTTCTTTTTCAATTTTCCCACAGACACATTAACTAAAACTTGGTTACCTCATGAATTCAAGGTTTATAAATTATTAGTGTTTGTTGTAATTTCTAAAACACTACTGTACTTCTAAACAAATATCATCAGTTAGCTTCGGAATTTCTATGTTTACCTCATTCGTTCAGTCTAATTTCTTGCACAAAATCTATAAAAATGATATACAATATACAGCAAATATGTATGTATGTTTTAGTCATAACAAAGCTGTTGCAGTTTATCTCAACTCATATTGTTCCAACTTAGAAAGTTAATTGAGTTACCTATATACAATGTAACAACATAACGGCTGGAGATCGCATTACAATTTTGACATAAACAAGGTATAATTTCGAAAACGAAAGATTATTTTAGACAACCAATCAATAAGCGCAACATAATTATAAAACTAAAGTTATGTAGTGACTAAGAATGGGATTCGGGGAGGACGTTTCGTTGTATTCAAAACTTGTCAGCTGGAAGTATTTGGATACCAGTGAGAACATCAGCGTCGAGATGGAGACACATCCAGCTGGCGAGTCCCGAACACAACGAAACGCCTGCCCCGTATCCAACTAATAGCCACTGTAGACATATAACTCAACGGAATTATCGTGACAATCCACTCAGCATACACAAACCTCAAGAGAGACCAACCAATCGCAGTCCTAAACATCAATAACGGAAAAATACAAGTCCTTGCGAATAAAATACGGACAAAACGTACCAAACGTTTAATTTTCTGTTCAGACAATGGACAGCTTTGAGGATTTCCACATGGACAAGATAATGAATAATCGTTTGGATTGGTTTCATCGGTGTTAGATTTCTAAAGAGGAAAACAATTAAAAATCCAGTAAATATTAGGGCATTAGGGATTTTAGTAAGAAAAAAAGATTAGGATGATGGAGAATATATGTATCTGAAGATGGTGATTTGAGTGAAACTGCGTTTCCTCACTTGGGTACTGTAATAGTATATTTCATGGCTTTCATAGCAAGAAAACGGTCAATAATTTATATTCCACTTATAGCAAATGTATACCAAGATGATTTCTAAATAAAGCCTCTGGAAGTGAGTGTGATAATCCCTTTGTCTTGAAATAGTGCTAAGTGGATTTTCACAAACAATTCAATCGGTTCATTAACCAATATAATTCTATCCATCTTTGAAAAAACTGAGATCTGATTATCCAAACCGAATATCTTATGATATTTCAGTACTTAAGATCACCCTCTAAACACTGCGTTCAATGGATTAACTCAAATAAGCTTTATTTAATTTTTCAAAACGTACGATAGTATTCATGCCCAGAGTACATTAATAGTGGTAGCAAATTTATTGGATCAGAGTTAATCACTGAAAGATCGAACAGTGTACACTTACTCCATTACCTAGTTAAAAAATAAGAAATAAACGAATTCACCTACTAATCTAACTGAAGCTGGAACGGTATAGTCAGGATAATAAGCCATCTTTTTTTCCAATAAAATTTAAACCCACTAACACCATCACTAATAACAAAATTAATCCACAACCATTATGTATTTTAATTTTACGGTATGGTGAAGATCTCTCTAATAATAATTAAGTGAGGAAGTGTCAATTACATTTATCGTTGAACGTAATACATATCGAAGGTAACAAATCAAATATATCACGAATATTGAATAACTTGAGAGAGCTTACTTCAGAAACACAATAATGTAATACTGAGTCTGTTAGAGACATTGTGGGATTAGAATTTGAATTGGAGTAATGTAAGGAATGATTATTACATGGAATACAAATCGCTTGACATTCAGATGATGGTAACTGTACAGATAATGATGATGGTATGCTTTGATAATAGCTAATATGATCGGTAAGACTTTCAATTGAATCGTTTAAAGAATATGATGAATTTGAAACAATACGTTGATTAGCACGTAATAATTCCCGGCGGCGAAGTTCATATGTCACTGTACTAAGAGTGGGCTAGAAACAAAAAAAAGAGAGAGTTAAGGGAATGTTGAAAACTATTAATCTATTAACTCGAGTGGAATGATTAAATAATGTTGTGTAGAAAAAAGAAATCAAGACATCAATATTAGACAGATAGATTTAATGATATTCATAAATTGTACTAAGAATATAAATATGTTGACTATTGTTCAAATTTAAACACAAAGTTATGAAGAAACTAATAACTACAGTTACTGTAAGACGTCATAATAATTATATTGATTAGTCACCAGGTAAATTGATCAACAGCATGTTTATCTAGTCCTTGGTGCTGGATGAGGTGGGGGTGAATCCTACGAAGAGTGTATCAGTTCTTTGAATGTTTTAAGCGCCCCCTGCCGATAAGTGAAGACTAGCAATAAACTTAGGTTTAGAGTTGTCTAACGACTACCTCCAGTTGCCTAGCGTCATAAAATTGTTTCATGCTTATTGATACGTAAAATACGTACTTACAGCTTCAAGAAATCAAATTATTCTACAAAGACTCAAAAGTAATAATATTATTATTCAATATTGCATGTTAAGTAAAATATGGAATGCCAGGTACAAATAATTTCAACAAGTTCCTTTTACAAAAAAATATATGAAATTGATAACGGCATACATATATACATGATTAAAGTAAATTAACTTTCTGGAATTAAATAAAATGTTTTTTTATAAAACAGGAACCTATACAACTGCTAATCAGCAATATGTCCAACGATATAAGTTTCTGAAAAGGTCAGATCTTACAACCTGTTCGATGAATAATATTTTTTCTAGATAACGTATTGTAAAACATTTTTCACCTTTGGTTGAGTGAATAAACTCCAATGTATCAGTGTCTCGTTTTACCAAAATACAAGTAGATATGAATGAAGTGGATGGTTAGTACCTGATAAGATAACACTTGCCGGGAATTCGCAAGATTATAAATGTCTATCCGCAACCTTGTTCATAGTTCGGCGATAATATAGATAAGATGTACTGATTAATGTCATTCGATTAACAAGTAAGAAATTTATGTAGTGGGCTTTTAGCCACATAGCTTGTGTGAGGGCTTGTGATACTATTCAGTTTCCTATACCAAAGTAGCTGAAGCAAGATCCGAAATCGCTAAAGATATGCACAATACTTAGAATATCGATAAACAAGTTGTGTAAAGTAAGAAACTTTCCATACAAGTTATACGATAATGAAGCAAGAAAAAACAACCTACAGGAAAAGAATATTGAGGTTGACCGTAATTTTGAGATTTATTAGAATCATCACCGGAGCATTCAGGATTCGTTGGCGATGCATTATGATCAGTTAGGTCTATTATCTCAGAAATAGGAGAACTAATGCCACGTTGTGGAGTCAAACAAGTTGTTTTCTTGTCGAAATCTAACTGCGGTTCATAAGCAGTAGTATCCGTGCTTACTAAATTGTCCATATTTTCCTGAACATGATCAACGATATGATTGCATTTTGATGATTCAAAACCCAATGACTATGTAAGATTAGAAAGAGATTAAGTTGATTTGGATCAATTATTTCAGCAATTTTACTGGTAAACAGACAAGAAGTACTTTCGAGACTTACGTAACGTAACTCTATAACCTGCGAATAACTATTATTTTACTGTTTAATCTTCTCGCTCGAATTCCACCAGGTTTTTTAAGGTCAGTGCACTTTTCACTGGCCAATTCAGTAGTTGTCTGATTGGCTACACTGAACTGTTCAGTCTTTGCTTAATTGTGCCTAAGTACATGTACCGAATGGTAACACAACCTGAATTGACTCGCCCAAACACCTACAAAGTCTAAACAATCGGGTCACAAGCATCTATAAAAAATGTTGATTTCCAGAAGTATAAACTGTAGTTCCTTATTGATGGCTATCAAAGATGGTATGAAAAACGTTTTGGATATTAGCACTCACAAAGTACTAGTATAAAGGCTAAAAGTCAACATTGAAAATAACACATAGACTATAATATTATATTTCTTAAATTGTTAACTGTTTGTTTACTTTCCAAACTCATTACACATGTACTAATTAGATAGGTGCATGTCCCTACACAACATATAAAACAAATCAAACAATATACAAGCCTACAGATGGTTATACAATTATGACACCCCTAACATTTGATTAAACAGTCAGCAATAATGCTGTACACGTAAGCATTTTAACATCCGCTCCTCAAAATAAACTCAAATACGTAGTTTTTGTGCAACCATAAAATATTGAATTCCGCACACTATAATAACAGACACTTAAAAAAATACTGAAGTAACAAGACGATTGAAATGTTTGATGGATCTGATTTTCAACGTATCGCGAAAAGGAGCTAATGTAGGCACTATAAAAATGTAATATGACTATAATGTGGGTTATTAAACAACATTACATCTAACAATAAAAAACATTCAAATAAAAGTTATTTTAATAAACTTTAAATGGTACGAAAGTACTTCATACTGCAAGAGTATAACAGAAAAATTTCTAAACTGACCATCAATTCTCTGCTTAATTCTTCCGTGTCTTTTGAAATCACACCAGTTAGTACTGACGAATTAGGCGACCTCCTAGTTACAGTCTGAAACAAGAAAACAATTTTAAACAGCTGCAGTAACTTGTTAATTGATGAATTCTTACTTTAAAAAATTCACATTTCATACAAATGATTCGCATAAACTTAGTGTCAGAGTAGTGACTATAGAACTGAGTTATGCTATCTAGAGTCTAATAATCATAATAATAGTAACAATAATAGTGATAATAATAATAATGATAAAACTTTCAGTTGAACATCAAATAGAAATATCACCTCCTACACGTGCACAAAATGATCAGTTCTTGATGCAGGTTTGCTCTCTGAGCTGGGTGGTTTGGTTGTGGAGCAACAATCAAACCAATAGGAGATACAACCAAAACAATTATTATTTAAACACATAAATATTGGTACAATGAAGCACCAGATACATATGCGCCACACAAATCTCATTTGATTTGTGTGAAGGCTGTGATACTGCCCAGGTGCCCAGACTGAAGCAGGTGGTTTTCTTACGGGGCCACACCCCGAGCCTTTGACCAGAACAAAGAAATAAACAATGACAGATTTAAGGTCAATAAGAACCAATCAACATCGAGGTGCACAGAACAAACTGTGAATCGCATGTGGAGAAATTCAAACACTTCACTTCTACCCGAAGTTTATCGTTCAGAAGGACGATGAAAGCTTCACGATTAAACCATCCAGCTCAGAGAACGAACCTACATCAAAATCACCCACCTGAGCTACAAATCTCCACCATCTCAAAAATGGTCAGTTTGCTTTGAGTAGTGATAACTAGTGATGATAATAAGTACGTGTGTGGCTGATGAAAAAATATTGATAGTTTTATGAGGAATTTGTTTATTTGATGCCATTACTATCTATACAATCAGTACTGAGGAAAGGCAATATGAACTTATTAACAGAACACTCCCATAAAACTTTCTTCTGATCACATCTCTGAACGATTCCTAATAAACTAATCAATTTAAATCCGCTAAGTGACAATGTAAATGCATTAATAACAAACAACATAGAATTTTGCACTAAGATGTATGGACTCAAATTATCATACTTCATTTCAGTATACAAACAAAAAGTCAAGAAACAGAGAAGGACGTAAAATATATCAGTGTCAACAATGGAAAGCCAAAAGAAAGAGAAAGACCGTTGACTGATATGCATATAAGACCAAGACCATAAAGTCTGAAGTGAAAAACAGATGAATCCGTCTACATTCAAAAAAAGAATGAAGACGTATCATTATCAAATGAAGCGCAGGCGTTATATGTAACCGGAATAATATAAACGGATAACAAGCAGAGAGAAAACGTGCTTTTTAGGGGCAATAAGATGAAGCAATATTTCTGAAACAGAACTTTTGGACAGGTTTTCAATGGGAGGTGAACTCAGTAGACTTTTTTCTAGATTTTACGCAGGTAATCGATGCATTACAGATGAGACCAGGTGTCTAAGTCATAAATTAATAAACGATGTATTCGATCCCGGATTTCTGTGATCAAAGATATGGCAACACACCGAAAAAGGGAAAGCTACTTCTGTTAGTACGGTTTTTTGTTACGGGTGCGAAATAAGCTGTTACTTGCTCTTTCAGACAAAAACACAGGATGAAGTGTTAATTCATTTTTTATCCACCACAAAACAGAAATCCCTGTGATAAACAGGTAATTACTAGCCCTTATATTATTTTTCTGAAATTCTAATAAACTATTAAAAGTTTCACATAAATTTGGTATACATTTCGGTGAGACTATAATTTATAAACGATCTCTGAGAAACGCCAAATTTACCTTGAGAATGTTCACCTACTAGCTACGATCAAATGAGGGTCATAAACCAGTGTGAGGAATTAGAATTATGATTTACAGCTGATGGTTAGGAACTATATTTGGGATTTTCATCACAAAATGACAAGTTAAAATGCCGAAACGTTATTCGGCCAAATGGGTGAATGAATTTTGAGCCGGAATTCATGACCTGTTATCTTATATTCGATTGGTTCGTCCATAAATTATAGTCTCGTCTGAATTTCTCATATTTTTTCTACTTGTATCCCAAGATTATTTCACACATGAATTTCAGACCCTACTGAAACAGATGAAGGCCAGTAACCTCCTTGATTTTTACAGTGAAAGGGAGAATTTAAATGTATTATCATGCACTAAGTCGTAAAACTAACATATTGTTAAGATGATATAACCAGAACTGTTTCCTACATGAAAAATCTAGGATCATCAACAAACCCAGAATAATCAGTATACGTAATATAAGGCTCTGAAGAGAGTTATATTATTGAGAAAAATTTGAGACCTAGCCAAATAAATTCTCAACATGTTTATAGACTTCAAACTAAGAATACCTCAAGCTGTCGATGTTTACCACCATGATTGCTTCCTGATCCACGATAAACACTTATATCATCCTGGTCAGAAGCTAATTCAAGGTTTTCTCGGTCAGTTATCTTCAAAAGTAAAATGAAAATTGGTCGACTTACAATTTCTGGCAATCTTCCATTCTTGTGAACAAAATCAAGTACTTCATTGTTTACTCTTTCTAGTTCCGTTACTTTATTATGTAACAACTTTAGTTCCTCATTCTGTGTATCCAAAGCATTGCTAAAAAACTGGAACATATAGACAGTCATCAGTAGTACACAACGATTGTAATCGGCGCCAAACAATCAGCTCGTCAGATCTCCTGGTCTAAAATACTTTGCGTAAACTCGTATCAAGGTCATGCCTAGGACTTGATATTACAGTGATAAAATAGGTGAACTGGTGCATAAGCTATTTAACCGAACATGAGTTCAAGATAATTTTGCATTTGATTCATGATGAATAGGTAGAAAGACGGTTAGTTTTCGTCAAGCAGATACTTTCAAATGGTTCAAATGATTGTGGACGGAATAGAAGAAGCTTTCACTTAACAGGCTTCCGTGTCTAGTAGCAGGTGATCACCAATACCTTCAAGAAGGGACCTAGGTATATTAACTATAGTAGGAAAAAAATGGTAAATCATAATAAGATGTCATCCTTAGTCCTTAAGAATAGGTCGTTTCCTCTTAAAGAACTGGGAATTCGCTTGGACTAGCTCAGTCGGCAGTGAATTCCAGCACTTGACAACTCTTAAGGAGTAGAAGTTGGGTCTACAGTTCGTTCTGACATGCTGAGTCTCCAGTTTCTGAGTGTTACCCCTTAGGTTAGCATTGAGACTAGGTATAGTAGAAGTGTTAGGGGTTGACCAGAAGTGTTAAGGATACGGTAAACCATAAGAAAGTCACATCTAAGACGCCTTTACTCTGACGGGTGAAGGTTAAGTGATTAGAGGCCCTCTTAATAAGGTTTGAATTTGAGTCCCCAAACTGATTTCGTCGCTCGACGTTGGATGCGTTCCAGTCTCCTTATCCTTTTGGAGAGAGGGAGGAAATGCTATGTTTCCGTACTCTAAATGGGGATGAGTAAAACTGTTGAAGATTAAGTGGAAGGTTCTGTCTTCAAACTGGCCAAAAATGCGCTTCAATGTTACCAGTGCAAGGTTTGCTTGAAAGGCGTTTTTGTCACAGTTCGCATACGACTTCAGGTCGTATGGCACCAACACGTCTAAATCTTTTTTGACTTGAGAAACTTCTAGAGAGGAGTTTCCTAGGTTGTAACTATAGTCTGAAACATGTCTCAAATGGACTACTTTACACTTTGAAGTGTTGAAGGTAAGTTTTTTGTTATCTGGCCAACTCTGAAGTCGAGTCAGATCCTCCTGAAGTGCCAGTGTATCCTCTTGGTTGCGCATCTCTCTCCAAAGTTTCACATCATCAGCAAAAAGCAATAAGTCAGACGAAACTCGTTGTGGAAGATCGTTTGTATAAACCATGCAGAGAACAGTTCCTAATATTGAGCCCTGGGGACCCCACTAGGACAAGGATAAGATTAAGGTACGGGTATTAATGCAAAAACTCTTATAAGTATTTGCTTTCAACTTTTGCATCGACAGGATGGGGCTTTTTACCCTAAACTTATGGCAAGTAGACTCCAATAGGTCTATAAATAAGAATTCTAATGTACAAATACTTTTTGTCAATGCATCTGTAGCTGTAAATGAATCCCCAAAATAAGAAACTTTTCAAGTCCTCGGTATCGATGTCGACCTTATTATTTTTACTGGACACACTCTAGCTAAAGGCGCTCGGCCACGCATGGGCACCAGATCAAAAGTAGGTACATCGTGGTACTTAAATCTTTCAACTACTTGCCAGTTTAGATCAAACGCTCCTCAACATATGGACAACTTTCCAAATGTTTTCAAGCTCATACATTCCTGGCTTCTGATTTCACTAGGTTGGTATCCTCAAATTGTAAAGGTGTTACGAACAAAAGCGCTGTCAAACCCTGAATACCTGAATCATCTTTAGGTCTGTCTTTTTGTGTTATCCAACTTGAATATTTGTGGCCATTGCTTGTAAAATTATTTTTAACGTTTAAACAATGTGTTTTTCTTATATATTCGCTCCCTTAACTGACTTCACTTGTCTATATAACTCTGCAACCAATTATTTGCATAACCCTCCTTCTCAACCTTATCGTCTTCTGCTCATCGTTCTCAAAGAGTTTCTATGCACTCATTTCCCTTTAGGTATTTTAAGGAGTTTGTCATAATTTGCAATTATTATTTTCACATGTATTTATAAAGTTGTATATAAATTTATGACGGGATAAACTCCCAAATATATCAGGTTCAAAAGCCCAGATCCTTCACTTCACAGCTCATTAGGTCTTAAAAATGTAAGATTCTAGCAAACTAATAAGGTTTTCAAAGAGCGTTTGTTTATCACTTGAAGGTCACTAACGAATTAACAGAACAACTACATTGGAAGAGTTTTCTGATGTTTATGTGTCTGTTTTTGTGTAAAAGTTTCCATGAATGCACTCGATATATGAACTTTTCTTTGATTCTATTTGTAGATTATGCTTCTTTTATCCCTCTTTATACTTATACACACTACATCCATATACATTGTCTATATATTCTGAAAATGGATAATATCCTGATGTTGATGAGTCTTCCAATGCCCGTTTTATCTTTATTTTCCTTGGCATCACCTTTTTGCTTCTACCATAATGGATTACCGTACTTCAGTTATTAGTATATGGACTGACTGCTTCTGTCCTGTATCACTGAGACAGGAGTTTCCTGACTTTTAGGAATTTTACCTGTAGATAGCCGGTAATTGGTTGAGTAGTTCTTATTTTATGGTTAGCTACTTAATTTTGAGGCAAATTGAACTAATCTATCTTTTTCTTTGGGTAAAATATAGTTCCTCGACTGCTAGGAATATACTTTCCGGTTTTGACAATTAAGCTTAGTGATAATCGCTAATTATGGAGTTCTGCATGTTTAAGAGTTCTGCAAATACCAGTATCGAAGTCACTGATACAATGGACATAAATGAATGCATGGTATTTCGAATTTGAATCAGCTATGGAGTCGTGTACAAAAGTAATCATTAATTGGCACAAGCAACAAGTTTCACAAAGTGTTATTATAATTAGTATCCTTACTTATTAAGAAAAGTAGTTTCAAATATAATCGGTTGAATTTGTGCCCAGATTTTTAAAATCATGCCTCTTTCATACCTTCCTCTGCATTTGTTACATTATTACCAAGAAGTCATTGCTCATTATCTTCCATCAGGTCTATGTAACATAGTAAAGAAATTACTGAAACATTTGACTGCACAGACGTATTGGCATCTCTTGAATGCTGGATTGTTCAACAAATATCAATAATGGTTTATTAGCAAATACGACACTGAATTTAGAACACTTCATTCCTGGATGCATCCATGTTCGGCTGTTAGTTGTGATTACGAAAGAAATCAAATTGTCAACGTTTTAACGCATTAAAATATATTTTTGATAACAGCTCATATGTTACTATAGTAATAAACCTAATTCCGAAATAGGAGAGTTGTCATGACGTGACTGCCTGACCTATAAGATCTTGTGTGGAAGTCGCGACATTTTAAATATTGACTCATGTTATCATGACAGCCAGTAATATAATGTTCAGTACTTTTGGTGAACACATTTAGGCTGGGAATAAAAGAATATATTTCATGTAGGAAGGTTTAAGTTACACAGGATTGTCACGCCTGTACGTTTTTTCCGCGCAGCAACAGTAGAACAAAACCAATTTGTAACCGTATTATTTTTCAAGTTGAGTGCTTACTAAATAAAAAGGTTTACATAAGACCTTAGAAGATGATAAAAATTGTGAAAGTCAGTAACGGGCAATGTTGTGACGTTATCGAGGCTGCTTTGGTAAGCCATGAACGTGTGATCGATCTACGTGATTCTTAGGTCTTTATGTGTGCGCTACCAAGGGTGTCATTGTTCTTACAAAGCTTTTACAATGCACTGGTGTGACTTTGAAGCGAGAAACTATAAATTAGACAACCTCATTATAGCCAGTTAGTTACATCCTTTTGGATTAGTGACCTGATAGGACAGATAATACCGACTAATGTTTCTAAATCTGAATCCTTGATACCTGATTAAACACAGAGCACCAAGTTGAAAGCTTCTAATAACAGAAAGATCTCCTTGCCCACAGCAATAGTGAAGGACAGAGTATAGCAACTATCCTACACGCAATTTCGATAACGGTTGATTTTGGTTAAGCCCTTTTATTAACCTACTTAACAGACATTTTCATTTGAATAGTGACACTCCTCATACATCTTTGTACTGTTATGATAACACGAGCACATGACAGACTCTAGCCAAAACGTTGGTTGCTTAAGTATCACTCGATGATTCATCCTCCTCCCCATATGTGTATGCACTCAAATCCTATTATTAGCTTTTGCTTTGTCTTGCTGCGCCCTTATACGATTTGACTATAAATTTGCCTATGTAACTGCTCGCTCATACTTACTCATACTTATCCGCCTCTCCGCTTCAAATTCCCTCGATATATTTGTAGCTTTGTGGCCTGTGTCATTTGAAAATAACATGTAGTTGCAGCTTCTCTTTGTATTCTAACGGTTATCGAGGTGAACGATTAACGAAACACGGCACTACAATAGGAAGGGTTTTCTTCTTGTAGACACCAACTTCATAACTCGTTCGTTTCTGACTCATGACACATCACTATAAGCCAGACCGTATATCACAAACCTGTTAGTTTTCTGGAAAAAATAAATTTCTCTTTGTTTAATTATTTCTCAATAACAAGTGGAGTGACAAAACTTTTCACTTTTCAAGCACTCATTATATTGCTTACTATTGACTTGCCATGTACTCTAGAATCTCAAACTCTGGTTTTGGTGGAAGTCCTATAGATCAGAAGCTAAATATTTGACCTGGATGACATTTCGACTTTCCTAGAAGACTTGCAAAGTATACCAGACCAAACTACCAATGATATTCCTCCTCTCAACATTAATGAACTCAGGATTCCATTGGTAAAACAATAGCACTACTCCATCTATTCCATCCTTCGTCAGTGAAATCGACATTATTTCCACTGCTGAAGACCTTAGTGTGACTGTGATATTTTGGGTGGCTGTTCTCAGTGGCACTATGCAGCGACATAGCATATTTTTTCTTCACGCTTCTTTGATAAGCATAAGATAACCCGACTCCAGAATCTTTTAAAAACTTTTTTCAGCAATTATCTAAGACCTCATCTAGATAAAGCTGTTGCATTATGATCCTTTACCTTGGAAAGAATATTGGTTCCGTGAGATGTCTTCAAAGAAAGGGAACGAAAAATGTACTCAAACTTATAAATGAACATTGTCCAGGTTGTCTTGAAGCCTCAAATTTACAACTTGTGCAGTACAGAATCATTATAGCGCATATGGTCATGATTTATCATATATCCCATGATCTTCAGTTTAGTACGAAGTAACATCTCAGAGGATATCTGCTATATCTTGTGGCCGGTGTGCCTTGTTAATGCATCGCTTGATAATATCTCCAATTAGAGAGCAGTGTTTTATCGATCTGACCAATGACACACAGAACCCGTGGGAACAATCTAGAGTCCTTATAGGTCCTGCTTTCCACCTAGCCCAGCCAGTTAAGTCCAGAACACCGATGACAGTCTCTGCAATATGAATAGCTTGCTTCAAACATGCTGGGTTTATATACTGATCAGACAGACCACATTGTACCATAAAGTAGGAAACAACATCTGTACAAGATTTAACTAAATGTGGTGGTGAATAGGGGAAATATTAATCGATAGACTGGGGATAACTCAAGAATGGTAAATCGTATAATAATAGTTTACAGGCCAAAATAAAGCTTATAATGAGAGGGATGTGAATATGAATAGTTTAGTTATTTAACAATTATACGATAAAAATCTATGCATCATATTGATCCATAAACAGTTCTCGAAAGTTACCGTTCATAGTTCTCTTCGAGATGTAACAATATCCACTTAGGGCGAAACATAAAAGAGCTCGCACAAAAACTCAGGGAAAATATTTCGGGATCAGAATCTCCAAACCATGATCACTTTGACCATAAATAGCTCACTTGGTTTAACCTCCAGCTCTAGAAAAGACATTACGTGAGGCATATCTTCCCGCAGTCAATAACTCTTCCCTACCACTCAGACGGACATCCAAAAGACACAATTACTTTGCTAATTCTACTGAATAAAGATTTAAGCTTTGAATGATATACCAAGGGACGAACATCCGTGTAAGATTACTCCGAATCTGATTATCGATAGGCCTGCCTGGAATACTACTTTAACCCCGAGTGTACAGCAGCCCTATGTTTGCGAACACGTTCAAGGTCCAGCATCTTTCTCTTATGACAGTCATTGACAGTATTCACAGAGTAAGATGCCTTGTAATTACTAGTATCTCCACACCAGTCGTGGATTTTACCCACTATCATTACGCATAATCATTAGTCAACTCCTTATATTACCTCTCTCCTTACGATCTTCACTCACACGTAATTTTTTACGATTTTCCAAATATTTGTTTTTTTACGTGTTTAACCACTCATTAAATCTATTTATTTATTTACTTTTTTTTCGTTTAACCAATTCTGTTCTAACCCTGAAGTCGTCCATATAATAGTCAACCAATTGAGTGTTCCATAATGTGATAGCTGCTGGTTTCAGTAATCGCATTGCCCTTGAATAGACCATTCATTTAAAGTGGATACAAATCTTACAATTAACTAAGAAAGTTACTAAAACTGGTATAACAGATTGGCTAGACTACTCACATTGGACGATATCGAAGACCTGGAACCGTGCTCTGACATCAAGAAGCGAGCGTAGTCAAATCAGTTCACTGGTGAAAATACTCCTCAAAGACATTGAATATTAGAGACGCGGAAATACATCTTATAGTGCTACTCAAGTCTAAGATGTCTACTAACCCTGGACCTAATGAATTGTTTTCAACATTTTACCAAGAAGTTAAGGCTATTGAGAAGCGGGATTCAGTTTTAACTCCGAAGCAACAAATAGATCGACTTAACCGACCTGGATCAACTTATTTTAATTTGAATCCATATGATGTATGCTTGGTGTAACATTGTTCAAGCAACCTAGGTTTTACAAGTGGATCCTGATGCATCAATGGCTGATATAAAAAAGAAATATAGACAGGTTTTATCCCTAGATTTTTTTGTATTCCAATCTAGCTGTCCCTGCTTGTCCATCCGGATAAAAACCCAGATGATATTGAAAGATCTCAGAAAGCCTTCGAAGGTATTGCTTGTTTTATTTAGTATAATGATTAAATAGCTGTAAACAAGGCTTACAAGACTCTGGATGACCCCGAGACTTCCCGCAAGTGTAAAGAAGTAGTAGAGGAAGCGAAGGATCTTGTTGAACAGATGGTATTAGCAACCATACTACTGTCTATCATTTTTAGATGATTGAAAAACGGAAACGTATTAAAAAGACGACTGGATCTATTACGATTGAAGAAGATGACCCTGAAAAAGTAACGTTTCTATTATTTCTAATCGTTACAGCGGCGTCATGCCATATATGTGCAAACATGCAAACTGTTCGCTGATCTTGAGAGATTAAGGGTGGAAGAAGAGCAAAAACAGTCTTCAGAAAGGTTTGTTTTTGTTGGCGTTTAGTTCCTTTTAACCCAGCTTGTGCGATAACGTTATTGCTCGTATGTCTATGTTGTTATCGATGATTCTACTCTGCTATCTCATATGGCTTAAATGATTTATACTTACTAAGCTTAAAAAAATCCAGCGATTTAACATGCCAGAGGCTTATGAATGATATCTAGAAGTCCCTCCAGAGTTAAATTTATCTTAATCATATGCGTTTATTTCTCCAAGTTTCTAAACAAGAAACAGCATGAGCTGTCATCTTGTGTAGCTTCGGAAAGATTTCTCAGGACTAACACTAGTGTTTATTGGTTTAATACTACATTTCTGTGTAAACTTTATCTGGTTTCACACATCCGAACAAATTTTGCGTGCGCTATTTGCGAAACTGCTGACACTCTTTAGTTTTGACTCATCTATTTGTTTGTTTCCTAAAAGCGACTAGCCTTGACATATATCTATTCATCATGCGCACATTATAATTATATCCACTCATCTATAATTTCTTTCGTCAATTCTGATATTTCTCATCAGAAAACGCAAAGCTGAAGAGGAGGAAGAAGGGAGAAAACTCATGGCTTATGACAAAGAGTGGAAAAAGAATTATGAAGTTAGTGTATATTCGTTTATTGTTTTTGTATATATTTCCATAATGGTTCGTATAAAGCTCCTCAAAAATATCGACTTTTCATCACATCTTTAAAATTATCATTGTAATGACATTAACGAATTAAGACAGGAGTTCGTTAAACCTGATGGTTCTGTTTAGTTTCGCATATAATTTGTTGATGATGGAAAAATGACTGCATATATTAACTAACTGCTTTGATTTTTATCAGGACTGTTAGTAAATTTACTTAAATCGAATATACCCCCAACTTCAAGAAATGCTTTTGTTCTAATAGTAGACATGCGATAAGAAACAAATTACGGGATAATTTAAAGGTATGTCAGTCCAATTCCCTACGTTCCAAATCAGCATAACGAAAAGATGACATAACAAGATGAGTGACGTAAAATAATGATGCCAACAATGATAGGAAGCCGAATAAAAGAAAATAGTCATGCTCAAACAAGATGAAAATTATAAACTAATACACTGTTCACGATTTATTAGGAGTGAAGAATGAATACATGCATATCAGTAGGATTAATTTCGAGCTATATCGCATTACGGTTATCTTGCAGATTACAATCAGGAAATTATCATATCACTATACGGCTCAGACCAGTTTAGGTTAGGCATAGGATATTTGATGGGGGAATGCTAGTTGGTACAGATTGTATGTTGGGAGAAAATCACAGTGAGTCAAACCAAAACTTGGTACTTGTCCATGAAGTCATTGACTGTTGGTCTGAGTCATACTGGCAAATCCAGACTACTTGATTGGGGTCCACGTGATAACCATGGTCAGTGGTTTAAGACCCATTCACTCTTTATTTTTCTTTTGAGATTAAATTTCAATATCCGTCCATACTTACCGTTCTGCTGCTTTTTGAAACCATTTCAATGTTTAGTTTTTCTTTTTGTCATTATTTTATTTAAACATAAATATTGGTACAAGGGGGCACCAAATGTAGATGCGCCACACAAAACCATGAGAGTAGGAAGAGAAAAGGGGTAGGATGCATATGTAAAAAATAAGAGTAAGATGGGGGAAACTGAAATGTGCAACCAGAAGATCTCTTTCAGTTAAGGAAGTTATGACCACTCTTTATGAAGAAAGTAAAAGGAGGTTACAGCAGGATCGCTACTGGCTTCTATTCGGACCCATATCTGATAACGTCTCTAGCCATTGTGTTGCACCATCTCTTGGACCCCAGCCAGGGAGTTGTAAAGGACCAACAGAAGCCAGTTCTTTGCAGCTTTTCATACAACGACACCATATCATTGCTACTACATTATTTTTAATTTGTCGTGCTAAAAGCGTTCGGGAACTTGGGTTAACACAATTTGTGCCTGGGTCTAAGTTAATGATGTTTGTCTGCCTGTCTGTTGGAACCTTGGAGAAAGTCACCGACTCATTTACACTATTTTAACCAGTACTGCATATCTAACATCACTATTTAGTCCAATTTTTGCTTCAAAGATACGTTTGATCGAACACATGTGACCTGGACATATGCTATTCTTAGTTGATTATCTGACTAAATGATGACAAAAAATGCTTGATACTGTAAAACTTCCACATATACTCTACATAAAACGAATATGCAAGTGCAAGGAAACATACAAAACAGAAAATCATGGAAAAAGCTAATAGAGGTAATGAGCAATAAAATAAGAAATCATGCAAGATTGATTTCATTTAGCTACAAAATTAGTTGTATGGTTTATGAGAGCCCAATAAAACCAATAACATGATCATCACTTGCTTCTTTTCTGAGTCATATCCGTTGACATCTCAAGCACTCAATCTTTAACCAATAGACCCCATGTACAAACCATGTTTTACCGATTAGGGGAGCTGGGTTTCACAACGAGCCCTCATGCAGTCCCAAAATCGAGTACATAAATCCATACCAAGCCGATAAATTTCACAATTTCAATTCACTAAGTTTCACCTTGCTAATAATTTTGACATGTTGGATGTAAATCCTGTTAATCTGAATGCACAAACCTAAATCTGTTTTAACTATCAGTGACGAAATGATTGAAAAATAATAAACATTTCATGTCAAATATAGGTTTAAGTTTTTACTACTAGGAGTCATGACATCACAACAAGTTAAGTATACATACCACTTGTTTGCTTCTATGATTTCGCACATCAACTAAGAGTAAATATTTTACGATTTATTACGTTTTTTCTTTTCAAACAAATCTTTTCTTATTTTTAAAGGAAAGTCGTATTAATCGTGTCGCAAGTTGGCGAGATTTCAAGGCGAAAAAGTCCAAAACGTCAAAAGGTATCGGCGGTTTAAAACCACCGAAAACAAAAATGGAACAAAGACCCGGTTAATAAGACGAGATTTTCAATACGTATATTTTTATCCGCCTTGTAGAAAACAAAACAACTTTGTAAAAAAGAAGTATTCTCCTTGCAACTCATATTATTATCCTATTAGTTATGTACCATCATTTTGATAACTTCATACCCTCTGTGTATATGTATCATTTCAAATGAAAACAAAACACTTTCGTAAATCCAAACAGTTTGTTTTTGCACATGATAAAATATGCTGAAATCATAAGATAATTACGATATATATATATATATATATATATATATATATATATAGTTGTAGAAGGCATTCACAAAACAAATTCATATTTAATAATGATCATGGTAATAAAAAAAATAATATCGCTTAAATCGTACGCCATATCAAACATCATCGGATTATATGAGTAAGTAGAATTTGCTTGTAGTTGTTAAGTGGAGTGGGGGAAGTTGGTATACACGATAATGTAAAATAAAAGTACGCACGGAATTGGGAGAATGTTTAATGGTTATTATGAGATTAATTCACTTCACAAAAAAGGTGATGAACACACCGGTGTAAAAGTTGACTGAACTACTTAATAAATGACATACAAAAGAAAAGTGGAACAAATCAAGTGCCGATATCATAGAATTGCAGAAAGGACAAAGACATAAGGAATGAAAAAAATGCGATACAATCTGATTGTTTTAATGCTTGTTTAGAAATATTGTGTGTGTAAGGGAGAGAGAGAGAAAGGAAGGGATTTTTGTCATCTATTTTTGTGTGCTTTGAGGTTAAGTATTTTAGCTAATTCTGTATCCCATGTAAGTACTTGTTGTCTGACTGGGTCATATTTACCAGCAATAAAATAATGATAGGAATTAGAGTTATTATCATCGTCAACATCGTCGTCTTCTTCTTCATTATCATCTGAACTAATTTCATTGTTATTATCATTATTGTTTGGCGTAATCTGGAGTTTAGGAGGTTGATTAGTATCATTTTCATTGACTGAAGGATATTTGATACTGTGACTCGTTGATGCTAGTGATGATGACGTCAATGATTCACGAATTTTAAGATTGATCTGTTGTATAAAAGGAAACAAAGGTTAGCATTTATCGTAATCATATTACAACTAGTATCCTATCTACAGTTTTGTAATTTCATAAGAATGAACCTAAGTACAGAAATATATGTACGTCCAAAGATCATTTGACGTGTGGAACATAGTATTCGGGTTGTTAGTAGAGATTTTCTTCATTCATGTAGATAATTATAGATGAATATCAAACAGATATTAAATGGAACCGATTAAAATAGATCTTACTGTGATCCGTAAATCTTGTCCGATATTTTCGAATACAAGGGCCATATATATATATATATATATATATTGGTGACGAGAGTTTGTTTGTCACTTATCTAGTTGTATTTATTTATTTATTTAAACACATAAAAATTGGTACAATGAAGCACCAGATATATATGCGCCACACAAATCTCATTCGATTTGTGTGAGGGCTGTGATACTGCCCAGGTGCCCAGACTGAAGCAGGTGGTTTTCTTAGGGGACCACACCCGGAGCCTTTGACCTGAATGTCTGATCCACAAGGCAGTGGAGCATCGTAAGGAGATGCAGTCCCATGGTAGCCGTTGACCAATGACAGGTTCGTCCGCCATTCGTTCCATCAGGATACTGGAGCCCATGTGCACCATTGGTTTGAAATCAGGGTTTTCCAACTCCCCTAGGTGGACCCTCCGTGTCCACCAACCCGGATAAAGCGCCGGACATTCGCTTTTCGTCCTCTCACTTTCGTAAACAACACCCCCGCCACGAGAAGGCAGTGAGTAGGACTTCCCTGGCAGAGGCTATATATTCGCTGGCCATATGAGAGTATTTCGAGAGGGAGAGGTGACTCTCCCCACTCTCGGCCGTACCAGGGCATTTGGGCATTTGTACTTACATAGGTTATATATTCACACAATAAAAGCCAAATAGCTTAAACATATCCGGCTTTATCCATTGATAGACAATCGGAAACTAAGATTGCAAAAAGTTGAAAGGTATTTATAACTTGACGGCATATTTGTGTATCTGCATAAACCGATTAGACTATGATCTTTAGCTTTTAGAAACAGTCGAAAATTCATTAACTTTTATGACCGACCAATAACACTAATAAATAAAGAAGAAGTAGATTGCGAAATCTCTAAGCAATTTAGGAAAAATCTGGATCAATTTTAGGGATATGTCTTGAAACTCACCTGTTCAGTGTCTTTATTAGGCGTAAGTTCTTTCATGTTCTTGTCTGATTGTGTTTGACTTGACTTTAAATGGTCTTTTCCTTTAGGTTTTTCATAATATCCTTGTATAAATTGACCATATGATTTAGCTATTTTGATACGTCGCTTGATGCATTTGGCTTCGTTCTCATCTTTATGTTCCGTTGTAAATAGAGCACCTTTAATATCCTGTACTAATTGTCCATCTTTTCCGGCTTCAAGAGGTTGATAGTACCTATAATAAAAAAATTCATAAAGAAATTGCATTTACTATTGATTCTGTTACACTTGTAGAAATATATGATGATAAACTCTATTTCTAAGAATAGTGTACATGTATCTTGAAGGAAAATAGGTTTGTCCATATACGTACGAATAAATAATATCGTTACCTACATGGCAGCATTATCATGGATAATTCGTAGACAGCTTCATTCTGAACTATAGGAGGTAAAATGTGATTGCGAATATTTCTTGTCGATTGACAGATGCTTATAAAAAAAACCTGTGTTCACCAATCCGCACCGACTGTTCTCATAACTGTGATCATATCATCTTCCAGTAGCTGAATCAATGTTGCTGAATCACTGTTCTTTTTTTACCAATCTAACAACTAATTTGTATAACTAATAATTTTAAAATAATCACGTCTTGAAAAATGAACTGTGCTTCTTCATACAGTCAAAATGGGGCTATAGACAAAAGTCATACACTAAATGTTCGGGATATAACAAACCAAATGCAGTTTGCAAACGTTTATTAAGCATGATATTAATATTGGTAAGTAATTTTATACGGAGTTATCACCTGTACTTCAAAGTAATTCACTTCATGACAAGTAATTATCGTCTTAGTCAGGTGACTGTCAGATATCGGCTCTTTACTAAGTAGGGGGTTTGGGGAGATTGGTAAATTTTATGGTTAACACCACGGATTAATTTTGGTTAAACTATTGAAACCATGAGGCATTGGCGTGGGTCTCCTCACTAGTACAGATTCACAACCCCAACGAGGATCAAGATCGGAGCCCTCAAGTCAAGCGGGCAGTGCTTAATCTATAGATCATTGATCCGGGATCGGGTGATTTATATACTTGACTTCGAACTATTCGTGACGCTGCTGAACCATCTCCCAATGTTGCTAGTTTGTAACTGGCTCCTGTCCGACGTGGTTGGACTCCACTGATCACGACATTTTACGAGAATTACCTCTAGAAATCAGTCAGTTCAATCTAGGGGTAGTTTTTTTATGGACAGAAATCAGTTGGGAAACAATTGAAAACTAGGGAATATTATATAGCTGTTTCTCTATAGTTTAGAACTATTGGCTTAACAGTCGGTGTGACAACCACAATTGGTGGTTTAAGACTTTGGATGACATAGCTTTGAAACATTCAGTTTTCGTCTCACTCTAGACTCCGCGTTCCATTATTACTTCGTACACCTTCTTTCATTCCGTCTGTTTAAGCCATATTCTCGAACCATTTCCTGTTAATTCTGTCTTTTTGTTCTGATGTTGTATGGCAACTTGGGTTAACTTACGCTTGCACCATGCTTTTTGTTGATTATGACGTAATTGACTGAATTAACAACCTAAAGGTAATGAATTCGGCACGATATTTCGAGGTCTCGGATCCTAACCCTGATATGGTCGTTGGCATCTTTCTCTGTTTGAAGTCGTTAGCCTATGGCGAAAATCAACGTAATCAGAATGAAAGTTCTCCGCTAACTAGCTTTGAACACAAAACGCAAAGACTTGGGCTCTTATTAATCGTAAGACCAAAAGTTTTTCTTCACAATTGAAAGCTGTGGTATAACTTTTATTTAGACGTGGAATTTTGCAGCAAGAAAATAATAGTAATTACCATGCAGCGACAACAATTATTGAATTCCTTTTTTGCTCCCAACGTATTTCTTTAACTTCACCAAGATATATTTCATTGCGCCCAGAGCCAAATTGTACACAATCACCAACTTTCACAATTAAACCATCTACATCACGTATGATTGAACGACAATATATACAGCCTTGTTTCCGACGTTTAAACTGTTTTAAAATATGAAAGTCAAAACCGAATAAAGCATGAAGTACACATCCACAACTAGTTATTTTTATCTATTAGATCAAATGTTCAGGAAGTATATATATATATTTCAATCTGGGGAATCGATATATCGAGGGTTGACTTAATCAGGATATGTGCTTGAGATTCCCGTGTCTCTGAATGCAATACAAATGTTTTATTCTGAAAAATGGGCTACAGTTATTCGTAACTATGTAGTGCAGTTCGAGATACCAGATAAAAGTACAAATAGCGTTAGATTTGAAATGAAGTTTTTTGATGAAAAATGCACTATAATGTGGAACACTCACTCACCAAATAAACTGAGTATAACACATTTAGTAAACATGTAAACTCTACGGATAACCTCACCCCTCATTCTGACCGCCTTTACTTATTTTGAAAGATATGTCTTAGGTCATATACATTACGTTGACAGACTGGACGAAATTCGCGGAAACTTAAGTCTTCTTGTAACTAGATATGATTATCATCAGTTTATATTTTACCAAGTTCATCTTTTTATTCAGCTTGTTCAAATTTATTTCATTTGTGATTTTTATGTGGACACTTACAATCATAGTCCTGATTATGAGCAAACCATCAAACGTACTTTAATCTCCTGGGATAAACAGATGTATTATGAGAACTTTTCCAATGACTTGACTTTGGTGTATAAACTATTATAACATGTGTGATTCATCGGGAAACTCACCAACAAGGTGGATCTCTAGCTTTAGAGGGAACTCTTGCTCTGAGAAATTGTATTATTCAAAATTGCAGTAAAACATGGCTAACAGCTAATTATCACATAACTGACTCAAGCTGAGCCTGAGATATAAGTATGTAAATTCACCACAATATATTCCTAAATAGGAGGAATCTAGTCATCAACCAGTAGTACTTAAGACAAAAGTTTCTTCAAGGTTACAAGTAATTACTACTAAACATGAAGCCACAACTTTCTGTTTATTGATCCCATACATTCAACACTAGCTTCTCTTAGATAGAGGATGTCTCAATTTGCGTATTACCTTAGTTACCTGAAATAGGTCTCCATATATTTGTAAAGTAGTGAAATTCTATTTTTATCCAAGAGTTGTCCATGTTTTGTGATAACAAAACTAATCATACTTATGAGTTAGCTTCATTCAGTCGAGTATGCAAAATTACTAATCTTTCAAAACTACAGAAATTTTAATTGTCATTAATTAAGATGAAAAATAAAGAAGAACGAAAAAAGAGTTTTAAATAGATAATAAAATTTATACAAGAATATTGACAAAATAGCAGAAGAAAAAGCCAGAGGATTCCAAGCAGTAACTTGACAGCTTCAATCTGTAATTCTAACCAGTTCAAACACTGCTACAATCCTCTGATCAACGATTTTATACTTCATAATATACTGTCATTATGATATGATATATACTTATACTTGTAATTGAGTAACCAAGTACAGGTTAGTATACTTTACTTGGAGCCACAATTCCTCTAAGACAACCAGTGATACTATCCAATTGTTTGGCTTAGTGTTAGTACATCAGATTTCGAACATGAGTAGATGGAGCGAAAGTGGAAATAGGGAAGTATTTTTGGAATCATGAACCGATCGATGTTAGACAACCATCGAAAACCTGGAAGGACTGGACGGCCGTTCCGTTCTAGTATGAAAAATCCTTACCAGTGCGCATCCATGACTCTGCAACAGGAATCGAATCCAAGACGACCATCTACAATTGTCTTCATTAGGTAACCGCCTAACACCCAATACAAGGACGTTTTAGTTAAAACTCTAATGTTTTGATAGTCATTTCCACATTTTGTCAACTAGCAGGATCTCTGATCTAATAGTTGGAAATCAATCATCTAAATAAGTAGGTTTCAGTATTATCTTTTACAATTAATTGATTGCTTACCATTTATAGAAAGGTCTAAATCTATACACAAAATAATTTGAAAATTCCATTACCTTTTCATACACTTGCCAGGATAAACATTCATTTGAACTATCAGTTGTTGTAATTGTGCTTGAAATGGAAATATTATCCGCAGTAAATTCATCAGATAGATGATTATTCAATGGATAAATCACCTTTTCCAATGTATCAATAATATCATTATGATTATCAGTATTATTATTATTAATATTGTTAGAACATTCACTCATGTACTTATCATTTGAAATATGATTAAAACCAGCTATTGTTACTGGTGTTTGTAATGATGGAGGTGGTGACGGTGATCTTAATGACATGACTGATGTAGCACTCGTTGATGTTGTATGTGTAGGTGATATCAATGAATTTACAGTACACTCCATTGTTCTATTTGAACTGGATGAAGACAATTGAGAATTCTTCCGAGTTCGATTACTTTTGATATGATGAGTTATTTTGTTTGAATTCTTTTCAGTAAAGAAAAACTTTGAGTTTAACATTAGGTTCGTGTTCATTCGTGGTGAACACAAAGACATAGTATCATGAAGTGGGGATGCTAAAAATTAAAAAAAAAACACCATAAAACGAAATAAATTTAACAAGACATGTGACACTACTTGTAAGTAGTAAAAGATGAATTTCCAAGTTTGGGAGGTGTATTTTAGTGCGTAAAATATAAGTGAACTGTCACACAAATATCACTGAATAAAATCAAGAACTGTATTTATTGGGAAATTCGGGCTGGTAGTAATTGATAAATCACACTTTCGGAGGTTTAACTAATTTAGTGCAATACATTTCGAACAATCTGATCACACATATACTTTTTAAGAACATAAAAGGTCAACTAGACTGGAAATGGGGGGTAAGAGGAGACAAGGATAATAATAATCACTCTATGTAATAAGCTAATATTACCAGGGTAGGTTTATAATGAGAACAAACTGTTTTTGAATACACAAAGGAGGTTTGAATTTTCGTATGGCTAAGGCTTCAATAAACCTTAGTATACGCCCTTTTACACTTTTATACAACACCACAATTCAAATGACCCAATCAGAGTAGAGGATAAACATCCATGATCCTCTATTGTCAAACATATAATCAAAACAGGCCATAAGATTGATCTTAACTCGGCTTTTGTTCAAAATGTATTGCGCTAATATATCACATAGTTCTGATAATCTTCTTATTACACTATCGAAATTTATCAAAGGGACCAATTGCTTTAACTAATTTACACAATTTATTCAATAAGGCTGCTAGTTGTTAGCTAAAATGACCACCAGTTACTATGACTAAACATCAATTACTATAAGTCAATGTGACATTGATGATTTTCTTATTTCGGCTGATAATCGAATAATAATTGTAATTTCATTGTAAATATGACTTCTAAGGTTTTGACGATCGTGATGTTGTTCATCATGAATTTTTTTACTGAAGATAAAACACTGAGCCTGGACATTCACCAATGATCGTCAGCAAGTTTATGACCTATAATCCCATCGAAAACATGTCTAGAAACAGTAAACTTAAGAAAAATATTTGCTTTCCTGATCCGAATAATACAAACCATATGAGTAGTTTTACACTGAAATTTATTTGCTAATGTGAGCTTATCATTAACAATATCGTTATTCCATGTATCAATGTGAGTAGATCACTTACAAATCAATTTAACATTATGTTTAGAACGATGTCTTAGTGATCAAAGTACTCTTACATAGTTCAATTTGTAAATGTAACACAAGAAAGACAGTAATGATAGTAATAGTAGTAATAATGATGAAACACGACAATATAAATGTAGATATTGAATAACTAAAGTTAAACATTAACACCGTTGGACACCGGCTCAGTGGTCTATCGGTTAAGTGCTCTGGCGCGAGGCTAGTAAGTCCTTGGTTCGAATTTTGCGAGTGGATGCGCACTGCTGAGGAGTCCCATAGTAGGACGAAACGGCCTTCCAGTGCTTCCAGGATTTCCCTGGTGGTCTAGCTCCAATTGACTCATGATTTCAACTATGAAAATGAAGTAATGACGTTGATAAATTTCTTTAAAAAATGTCAATAATAAATTAAAAACCTAAAAAAAAGAAAAAAAAGATTGTTATATTGTATCATTTAGCTTACTTGATTGAGACCATGAATGATATGATCTAGATGTGTTATGATCCAGATCACTATGACGACGTATACGTGACACAAATTTACCATTGTCTTTTCCATTATTATTATTATTATTATTATTATTATTATTATTATTATTATTATTATTATTATTATTATTATTATTATTATTAATATTACTATCATGACGTAATGACAAATAATCCGATGAGATAAGACAAGGAGTTAAACAATTTATATTATTTTCACCAGTAATATTAATTAATTCACATAGATTTGTAAAATAATCCGGTAGAATACGCAGATCAGTTAATGGTACTTGTCTATGATCTCCATCATCAAAATCAACTGGAACACAATCATTGTTGATATGTTGTTGTTCATCTGGATCAGCTAAAAGAAATGTTTTCGTTAATTTTAAGTAAAAATATTTACATGAAAAGTGAATGTATATAATAAAGGGAATAGAAATCATATGTCTTGAAACCTAGTCAAAATATGATACGGTGATTTTGTACTTTGCATGTCACTTTCATCGTGAATATCGAAACCAGAAAGTATTGAATGACTACTTTATTCTTGTTAGGGATTCCTCAGGGGTGTTCACTTGGAATTTTTTTCAATAGAATTAAGCCCTATGAAATTAGATCTTACAGTATGTACGATATCACTGTCTGACTTTCTACTTCATTAATTCCACTACAAGTATATATCACCAAAATGACAAAAATTGAACATTAAAATATCTCATTAAATTAGAAATATCTTAATCACTGTGAGATTTAAAGCTAATTGATTCCTAATAGATTGGAGGATGTTGAATAATTACTTCTGAGGAGTTTTTAATCAGAATGAAACAATTGCACAGTATTTCCTTTATTTTCTATAGTTCTTAATTAATAATAAATACAAATTAAAGAAGGATTAATTAACATATGACTAACTGGTTGAATAGATATAACAATCTGACTACTATATTGATTGAACGTTACCGGTTAGAAGAAATGGATGTTTGTTTTTGAAAAGTTTCAAATAATATGATATGTGAGTATATTATATATTATCGAATATTATTGAGTGGACATAGACTTGGATAATCTATCAATATGTATGATACTAAGTATTTTATTTGAACAATGTCAAAAAATAAGAAAAGATGGATAGAGGCTAGCAGTGGAATCCAGGACGTGCGTTTCGTTCTATTTGTGACACGTCAGCTGGATGTACATGCATCTCAGAGTTGATGTTCACTCTGAGACTAACCCAGTAGCATTCGCTTCAAACGTCATCGCGTTATCCACTCAGCTACTGAGTCCTGATAGTCACTTGCTTGTACAGGTACATCCAGCTGATGAGTCACAAATAGGACGAAATGCGCGTCCTGGGTTCCATTATTAGCCACCGTCCATCTTTGCCTATAATGCTTGTGAATTAAGGCTATATCGAGGCAATACGCATAGTATGCACATACGCCAATAAGAGGCTGACCAATAGCAGTCCTAAAAATCAATCGGAAGATTCAAACACTTTATATCAAGTGAATTCAATATGAAAAAATTTTGAGACATTTATAACTAAGTGACTTAGTAGGTCCTGGGTTCGAATTTTGCGAGGCGGGATCGTGGATGCGCACTACTGAGGAGTCCCACAATAGGACAAAACGGCCGTACAGTGCTTTCAGGTTTTCCATGGTGGTCTAGCTTCAATTGACTCATGATTTCAACTATGAACATACTAAATCTCCTCAAAAAAACCCTTGTGATGATAAAGTGATAAATGTTTATTGTTAACTTGTAATTTCATGCTCATTATGATAAAAGCTTTTAGGAACCCTAAATATTTACATTAATCACTTGTAATGTGTATATAGTTTCGTATAATTTCGAGATAATCTACAAAAAGCCTTGAATCTGTTTCGTGTTGTTCTTTTCAGCACATTCATCAGTAAAATGTTCTTTAATAGATTGTATAGTCTAACTTTCCGTCAATAATTTGAATCTAAGTTACTCAACTATTTAATCAGAAGGGGTTTTGTGGAGATTTAGTATTTTCATAGTTGAAGCTTGAGTTAATTGAATCTAGACCACCAGGGAAAACCTGGAAGCACTGGATGGCCATTTCGTCCTACTGTGGCACTCCTTAGTAGTGCGCATCCACGACCTCGTCTCGCGAGATTTGAACCCACTTAAAATGTTAATAATAGAACTCTGATTACTTTATTTACAGATTAAAATCTCCAATTTATAAACATCTATTAAAGGGAATATTTACAAGATCCTCCTCTCCTGAAATTGTGAACGAGCACAATTAGTTGAATTTGAAATTTTAATGAGAATTGATCTGATAATTATTAAAGTGAATCGATGTATTGATGTATAACAGCACCCATAGCAACTTAAATTTGCGTCATTTTTATTTTAATACCTGATACATTTAATCGAAAATAGGAGAAGCGAAGCATATACCGTTTGGTTGTAATAAATTCGACAGTAACTCTCGATAACAAAGATTGTTGTTGTATGTAAATTTGTAAAACCCTGAAGAGCACTGGGACGACTTTTAAACAGTAGAAACACAAGACTCCACATAAAGTCGAATTCAAAACTCTCAAGGTATTATAGCAAGCTACATGTTCACATTAGACCATTAAGAAATTTAGTAGTCCAATATTTTCTAACTCAATGTATTCATGATTATACCATAGTGTTCAACTACTGTTCCTGATGACGGTGTGTCAATAAGTTATATTCTTTTTCAACAACTAATATCAAAATAACATCTGATCATTTAATGTCAAACTTTAAAAACTGAATCAAATCGAAAGCAAACCTCTGTTTGCACAAAATCCTTACTTAAAAATACATATGTATTCCATTCTTTTAGCATCTGAAAAGATTAAACAACAACTATTACTAATAATGAATAAACTTACCTTTTACGACAGTTCCTGGATAAAGATTAACACCCAGTTGTTCACTCCATGCAGCACAAACACGTGTTCCAGGTGGGACATGTCGTATTGAAGCAGGAAAGACTTCTAAAACCGCCTGTTGTACTACTTGCCATCCATACAATAACAAATCCATTTGACGTCTTCTATTTTTACTAAACAATCTACAACTATTATTACTTGAAGACGATGATGCTGATGATGATGAAGATGATGATGAAGAAGATAATTGTCGATAAGTTGAATATGATACAACTTGATTATTCACATGATTAGATGGTGGTGGTGTTATAAAACGATTATAATTATTAATACGTGAATTAGTTGAACCAGTAAATTTCTCAGTATCTAAATGTATACGAAATACTTGATCACGTAGATAATCATTATTAAGACTCATTCGATTGATCAATGAAGAACTATCTATAAATTTAAAAGTAACATTTTTGAAAATAATATATTTGTAACTAATTTTCATGAGACAATGATGAAAGAAAAGTAAACTTTTAAGTTTTTATCATGGTAAAGTAACTTTTTCACTGAAACCCTTTATTTCAGTCAGTCAGTCACAACGTAAAACTTCGTACGTACGTACATCAGTTCGAGTTGCCATACCACAATAGCACAGAGATACAGTTGTCGATTCAAATCCCATAGTGGTAGAAGTAGTAGGAGTATAAGCAGTAAACTGAAAGACTTTATCTGATGTTCTGATGAGATATTTTATTCAGTGAGTCATGATTAACATAGATCCGAGGACCAATGTGAACTAGCCCAAGTTTTCATATTCCACATCAGTACGAGTAAGTGTTTTAGCTTATACAACTGGTTAAGGATAGTAATGCACATAACTTTTAAGAATTTATAATTGATTATGTAAGAAATATTGAGTTGAGAGCTGAAATATTCTTAGTTATAATTTTTATTTATTTAAACACATAAATATTGGTACAAGGGCGCACCAGATATATATGTACCACACAAATCAAATGAGATTTGTGTGAGGGCTGTGATACTGCTCAGGTGCCCGAACTGAAGCAGATGGTTTTCTTACGGGGCCACACACGGAGCCTTTGACCTAAAGATCTGATCCACAAGGCAGTGGAGCATCGTAAGGAGATGTAGTACCATGGTAGCCGGTGACCAACGATCGATTCATACTTCGTTTGTTCCCTCAGGATCCTGGAGCCCATGTGCATCATTGGTTTGGAATCAGGGTTTTCCAACTCCCTTAGATGGACTTTCCGTGTCCACTAACCTGGTTAAAGCGCCGGAAAGTATTCAGTACTTAAAGCATTAAACAAAACAGTTTTATATTCTTTTCAAAATGTCACTGGGAATATTGTTCTCAATGAAACTATAAGGTGATGAAAAGATTTACTGTGAGTAAACTGAAAGAAACGAATTTTGATGAATGTTGTTGAATGAAAAGATTTAATTATTAACCAATATCAATAGAATTTATCAAAATTAGAAAAACTAGAGATATGGCTTTGCAACTAGTTAATCTAAGTGATCTTTTTTTAATACGAAAATAAGTTTTCAGGTACCAATTAGTGTTTTATTTCTATCATTGTAATAAAGTTCTATCGGTTTAGTAGTGGTATTGTGGTGTGGGCTACTTATATCCACACAAGTAGTATATAACGATGGTCGGGCATTGAATATATTTCAGTAGAAGATAGATAAAGAGAGAACGGAAACGAAACGCAATCGGTATGAAAATGCATGAACAATAATAATAATCGGAGACTATGGATTGATATTTGCAGAAGGAATAGTCAAGTTTGAGACAATTGATTGATAGTTTGCAAATTAACTAGTTACTGTATGGTTGTCAGATATCAGTGAGAAAGTTTGTGATTTACGTGTCAAATACATTCGATTGTCCCCACCCGTGTTCTTGTTCACCACAATATCATCAATGCATTCATAACAATATTTTATATAAATGTGTAGCTTAGAGATACCTATTTAAGGAACAAAGTGTGTATCTGTTAATAGTTTTAAATTTTATTGAATTTCCTACTTTGTTGTTAATTGATACAGATTTTCTGCTAAAGTCCTTGAAAATAGGTGAAAGCAACAGACACAATAATATTATTCAAGTAGATTATTATCATATATTTATCTTTACCTACAATCCTCTTTTATTTGACATATATTGTAGTATTTAGTATAAATGTTTAATGTAACTTATCAGTAGTCAAACATGTTAACAACCTACTGTTGTGCATAATATACATTAAAATAGGACATTTCATTAATGTTATACGTCTCAGTATAAGGTTGTGAAGATTGTTGAGTTTTAATTAAGATCATAAACATATAAGTGTTAGACCACCATTGAAAATCTGGAAGCGCATTCACGACCCCACACGAGTTAGATACTAAAACGGTTGGATGCAGGCTCAGCGGTCTTATAGGTTAAGCGTTCGACAGCGAGACTGAAGGTCTTGGGTTCGAGTCTCGCGTGCGGGATGGTGATAGACACTCCTGAAGAGTCTCATGCTGAAACGAAATGACCGTTCAATGCTTCCAGGTTTTCAATGGTGGTCTAGCATTGATCGGTTAATGATTTCAATTACATGTTTCATTAGATAACGAGAGAATTTTATGCAAACAATGATTTCACCATCCAACTTTTATCCAAGTTAGTTGATTCAAAGTGGAACAGAAATTGAGGCAATTTTACTTACAGTAGTTAGAAGATACTGTATTAATCAGTCAAATGAGTAGGATATATGATTTAGAATAACATTTTTCTATGCATATTAAAAAAAAACTTGGCACAACTGTTATATAGTAGTATTCAACATACCTTTTCCTAAATATAAAGTACCAGCACGTAGATAAGTATCTTGTATAACTAACACTCTTGTCCCATCGGATAAATCTGCTAAATCCAATTCACTACGCCGAATATCTGGTGTAGGTGGTCGATTATTGATCCATCCTCCTGAAGTTTCATCTCTATTATAACATGAATTCGTCATTGAAGTAGATTGTTGATGTTGTGGTTGACTTTTGAAACTTTTAGATCCATTCTGAGGAAGTGTAATAGTTGATGAAGGTGATAAAGATGTAGAGGATGAGAAATTTGGAGAACATGGAGGTGTTGGTTGAATTGGAGAATAAGGTGATAGGACACTGGGGACTACAAATGAATTTACCTATAAGTAAAAGGAAATTGTTTTTTTGTTTTTTTGAATCAAAATTCAAAACTCACATCATATATGACTGAAAAGTTGAATTAAGGAAAAAAACTAAGAATATTGATAAAAACAACTCAGCTTAACCCTAAATGATAAAGTCTGGATAGTTCTATGCACACCCAAATAAGTAAAGATGCCGTGATTGATTAGACGTTTGGGGAAACTTTGAAGCTCGAATAGAGAATTCGGATGATGTCTGTTAACTTATATTAACTATAACATGAATAAGATGCTAAACAATTACATATTTTAGGATTTATACATCTACGTCATTCAGTTTAATCATCTTTAAGATAACAAACTAACAATGAGCATTGAAAAGTATGAATCGATAATCCAGGTATTTACTTCCAGTAGTACAGTAAGTAGCTCAACTCCTAATCCATCTATTACGGATTGAAAAGATTGATAGATATATTGCCCATAGGAACATAAATCATAGATAACTACCTGGAATGTAAATCAATATATTGTTGCTATATTGAATTCAATTTACTTTTTCTGATTATATACATATTACTCAAAAAGTAATCTACGTAGTTAATATTTCATTTGGCTATATCCATCCTACATATCGCATCCTATTGTGGAAGGGTGAAACAGTTGCCTAATGCTCCCTCCCTAATGGTACCTCAAATAGATGTCTTGGAATCATTACTCGTTTATTTTGAGACCACTAAGTCCCCAATCCCTGGGTTAAAAGTGGGATACTAGGTAAAGATGTCAAATCGATTGATAAAGTAGTAAATCTCCGTCGACTTGAGCGACTGGGAGATGTGTTACATATACCCAATCACCGTCCACCTTGACGGTCGATGTTGTTTGGTGTACATGTAGGCTGGAAGAAAGCTAGGAGCTGCCAAATAAAAACATACCATCAGTCGATGAAGCCAATGAAGATCAGATTGAGTCATACTAACAAGTGTAAACTGATTGGTTCAGATCCACGTGGTTATCATAACCAGTGGTTAGAGAATTTGAATGACATGGTTCAAAATCGTTTGCAATAGTGGAGGTGAAGTCGTTATTTGTCTTACCCGAGATTCTAAGCTACTGAGTTACTCATGACTCTTTATTTCTTGAATCTTACCTTCGATACTTAATCTTTTCTGTCACCACGGTGTGACCATAGTTTATGGACGACCTTTGAGCGACGCTGAAGTTACCCTGAGAATGTCCACCTACTAACTACGACTAAATGAGTGATATAAACCAGTGTAAGGAATTAGAATTATGATTTACAGTTGATAGTTAGAGTTAGGAATTAGATTTAAAGTTTTTATCATAAACTAACATAAGCTAAAATGCCAAAGTGCTATTTAGCCAAGTGAATGAATGAATTTCGTGCCAAAAATCCATGGCCTGCTATCTTATATCTGATTGGTTCGTCCATAAATTATAGTCTCGCTATTACCACAGGTAGTGTTACTACATCTACTACTCTAGGATCTGCCTTAACAATGTCGTCTCGCTGTGTTAATGGGGTGTGGCAATTTGAACCGATTTACATGCGTACCAGGTCTTCACGTTGAGACTAACTGACCGTTCTTGTTAAACATAGGCTTTAAAAATAGAGGATAATCGTCGATTACTAGTATTCACCCATAATTGTTCTCAGACTATTGCTCGTATATTTCGAGACCACCGATTTATCGATTCTGGGTTTAGATACAGCATTAGGTAGTTACGGGAAATCAACTGAATCTTTATCGACCGAGATGGTTGCCACATGTTTCACGTATGCTCATCCAACGACTACCTCAGCGCGTAGTAGTGGTTGATGTGAGAATAGATTAGAAGAAAGTTAAAGTAAAACCAAGAAGTGGTATCAGTCTATGAAGATAGTGACTGTTAAACTAAGCCATTTCGATAGTTCTGAGCTACCTTAGTTGGAGTCCATGTGATTATCAAAACCAATGATCAGAGACTTTGAGTTCAATGGCTCAGAATCGTTTGCAGTGGCGGTGCATTGACTCTTTCTCTTCCATTAGACCATAAGTTTCTAAACTAAATTTTAAATTTTCTTTTTCTCATTAATTAATCTTTTCTTCTCAAAGGTGTTTTTTTAATTTTATTTAAACACATAGATATTGGTACAAGCAAGCACCAGATATATATGCGCCACACAAATCTCATTCGATTTGTGTGAGGGCTGTGATACTGCCCAGGTGCCCAGACTGAAGCAGGTGGTTTTCTTAGGGGACCACACCCGGAGCCTTTGACCTAAAGATCTGATCCACAAGGCAGTGGAGCATCTTAAGGAGATGCAGTCTCATGGTTGCCGGTGATCAATGATTGATTCGTACGTGATTTGTTCCTTCAGGATCCTGGAGCCCATATGCACCATTGGTTTGGAATCAGGGTTTTCGAACTCTCCTAGGTGAATATTGCGTGTCCACCGACCCGGTTAAAGCGCCGGACATTCGCTCAAAGGTGTAGCTAAATTTCGCTCAATAGAAATGAAAACCTGACTACCTATATACCTTAGACTATTTATTAACTTGCTCAAATCTTATACCATTCACACGTACAAATTAGCTCCAAACCTTCACTGTACTAATGTCACATTTCTGACTCCCACTCAAATGTATATGAATACACAAATATACATCTCACCACTGACCGAATAACATAACATCAATATAATCAGACTTGTTTTGGTTTTAATAAACTTTTCTGTACTACTGAAACTTGTATTAATTTAGTTTGATTTCTTATTTATTCTTTCAAGAAGTGACTTATTCTAAGTCATGTATCATCCGAAAATTTGTATTTTTCACGTTGAGGTATTACATATAGTTTGTTATTTGAAATTAAGCTAATGAGGAACAATGTTCTAACAACATTCACATACACATACAAACACAAACGAACAATTCACCTCTTTCTGATTTTCATCATCTTCATATCTTGAATCTTGAATATCAATTCTTAATTGTTTTAATTTATCAACATTTGTAATATTATGTATTACTGTTGATTTTGTATTGGACCATAATTTATCAGATAAACATGTGGAAGGATTTATTGATGAATCTATAGTTAATGCAGATGATGATGACGATGATGATGAAGAGGATGATGACGACGACAACGAAGTAAATGATGAACAGGAAGGCGATAAAGATGATGATGATTTTGTAATATCATTTAATGTTTTATTAAATGTTTCTGCATTTTGTTCACTATTAATTGTACATTGATCAGATTCCTTTAATTTATCAACATGAATATTAATTGTAGACTGATCAAATGAAATATTTGGAGAAGAAGATGAATAACACAATCTTGGAGATGAATTCACTGTTGACATTGTTGTAGTTATCATTGGAACAACTGGAAAGTAACAATTATAGGAAGAACAATAACAGTAACGGTAATAATGATAATACTCATAATAATTAAGCTAACCACCGAAATAGTAATTCCATAATGATAGTTTAATGACTACGAAATTGTGTCTCAATTGCATTTGTTTATTCTTTTATTAAATCTATCAGTTGATATTTATGTACATTATTAAAATTAAGAAAATGGGGCCCCGAAAGCCCTGGTATAGCCGAGAGTGGGGAGAGTTCACTCTCCCACTCCAAATGCTCTCATATGACCACGTAAATACAACCACTGCCAGGGAAAACCCACTGACTGCCTTCTCGTGGCATTACCGCTGTATACGAAAGTGAGAGGACGAAAAGCGAATGTCTGATGCTTTAACCGGGTTGGTGGACACGAAAAGTCCATCTAGGGCAGTTGGAAAACCCTGATTACTCATTATTATCTTCCATCGCAACCATTTTCACATATAACATCGTCCTTCCAGTATCTAACACTACTGATTTTTAATTCAATCAATAACTATGAAATAAACGTATTTATTACGTAATTAAAACAATGGAACAAAATGTATTTGTAAAGAGGGAATAATAATAAAAGAATACTATTATCATTATTATTATTATTATTATTATTACCAGCATGGCGACTAAAATCTCTTTTTTTCGTACACACACATACGTATACATACGAATGATGGTAAGTGTTGTTTTTCATTAAGATGCAATTCATTTTCAATGGTTACATAATAGTTCTATGTTTATCTTAGTATGAAAATTGCCGCCTTTTTAGAAGAAAAAAACAACAAAGATACATCTTTCCCACTAAGTCATGGCAACAGAGATGTGAGAGAAATATGGGATTATCTCCTTATACATTTGAAGGAAAATTATGCATTAAAGTGAACATTGAATTTCGTTGACAATCTTCAAAATTATATTGAAAATAGACCAACAGACCAGTTTTGTTTCGTTTACACTTATAGTGAAAAGAACAAAAGTTGAGTTAATTAATTGTTTGTTTAACTTCGCTTTCTTTTTTTTCTTCAAAATGTAACATTTTGTTGTAGACAACCTTTTGTACAGAAAACAAATCAAATTTGTTCTATATTTTAATAAAGAAAATAATGATTAATGTGGACATAAAACCGCCCCCAAATGCCTTGATACGGCTGAGAGTGGGGAGAGTTCGCTCTCCCTCTCCAAATGCTCGCACACGATCACGAGTATATAGCATCTGCTAGGGAAGTCCTACTCACTTCCTTCTCGTGCCACGGGTATTGTTTACGAAATTGAGAGGACAAAAAGTGAATGGCGTATGAATCAATCGTTGGTGAACGACTACCATGGGACTGCACGATGCTCCACTGCTTTGTGGATCAGATCTTTAGGTCAAAGGTTCCAGGTGTGTCCCCCTAAGAAAACCATCTGCTTCAGTTTGGGCACCTGGGCGGTATCACAGCCCTGACACAATTAAATGAAATGACAATTTTGTGTGTGAACCATATATATCTGATGCCCCTTTGTACCAATATTTATGTGTTTAAATAAACAAATAATAATAATAGACAGGAGACCAAATGTATTTTACTGGGATACAGGACTTGCATATCATCTTATTTGGGAGTTGTCATCTGATTGTACATGTATTACAGTGTTGAAATTAACATTGATACTTGAACACAATACCTTTCTATTCAAATACCGACACATTATCCATTAAGTTTCGACGTGAACATCAACACTTAGAAAGAAGTATAGCCAACTGATTAATCCAGGATAGGATAAAACGCTCCTTGGTGGAGTTCACTACTCAATACAATCTATCTTTTCAATAGAAGAAACCTGTAACAGAATAGCCATATCAAATCAATCCTCTGAGAATGTGCATAAACCAACAGAAACCGGTCTATATCCAAATCATTCAATTCCTTACTAATAACATTAAAAAATACCAAATTTAATTAACAAGCATCTCATAATCACTTTATTTAAGTTGAGTATATACATATGATCAATCTCATGGTTTAACTGACACTTTTGTCATTTCAATGATTGAGGAAAGTAATATTTTCAAATTAAATACTTCTTAGCAGGATTTCCATTCTATTGCATGAAATGAGAATAATGAAAATATCCATTTTGACATTCGGTGAAAAAAAAGAAGGAACGAGTCGAACGAAGAAATTTCTTTTACATTAGTTTTTCATCATGGCTCTACACTAATATATATGATGAGAAACTAATTAAAAAGAAATTTCTTCTTCTTTCGTTCCTTCAATTTTTATCAAATGAGAATAAGTTGACTAGCATGCAAACTCAGTGGCCGAGTGAATAACGCGATGGCGTTTGAAGCAAGGGTACTGGGTTCGAGTCCCAGAGTAAACATCAACTCTGAGATGTAGGTACATCCAACTGACGAGTCACAAGTAGGACGAAACGCGCGTCAAACTGGATTCCATTGCTAGCCACTATCCATCTTTGCTTACCATGCTTGTGAATTTAGGCTATATCGAAGCAATACGCACAGTATGCACATATGCCAATTAGAGACTGACCAGTTGCAGTCCTAACACATCAATGGGAAGATTCAAACAAACAATACTAAATGAATTTCATATTTAATCTGTTGGGATGATTGAAATCGATTTAACAAAAGTTTAAAGGACAAAATTAAACTATAGCTAAACTAACAATCTGTTCTCATTGAATAAATGATCGCGGATGCGCACTGCTGAGGAGTCCTACACTAAAACGAAACAGTCGTCCAGTGCTTCCAGGTATTCCATGGTTGTCTAGTTTCAATTTACTCATGAACTCAACTATTAAATTACTATAATACCCACAAAACCCCTTTGTGATAAAATATTGATTGTGTAAAGTTCAGAAAACAGAATAACTGTTCTAATAAATTTGATTGACTATGTTTTATTCATACTGTATATACACTTGGTTCCTATTTATGGAATTAAATGAAGCATGAATGACATTCAAAACATAACAAAATATGAATTCAATACAATTCATTGATTCGTTTTTAGCTGCCAACAGCCTTCTACTGATGAATATCATAGAGGTATTACATAATCGACTTTGAATATTTGAGTTAAAGATGGTTATTTTGACTCAAAAATATATACATATTTGGAAGAGGATTTGTGGAGATTTCATTATTTTTCAAAGTTGAAATCATGAGTCAATTGAAGCTAGACCACCATGGAAAGCCTGAAAACACTGGACGGCCGTTTCGTTCTATTATGGGACTCCTCAGTAGTGCGCACCCACGAACCCGCTCTCGCGAGATTCGAATCCAGGACCTACCAGTCTCGAGGTAGAGCCCTTAACCGATAGACCACTGAGCTGGCATCCAACGGTGTTAATGTGTTAATTCAATTGACTCACTCTTTCAACTATGAAAAATACTAAATCTCCACAAAACCCCTTCTATAATTAATATAATCATATGCTCACTAGTGACTTCGAGAAGTATATCTAGGAGCTCTAGTGAGAAGCAGTGACCAGTGGAGTTCAAAACCACGTCTGTTGTGAGATAGGAATTCACAGAAGACAATTGATGAATGGTTGCTCAATTTCGTGGAGACTGGAAGGTCCTGGATTCGAATCTCGCGAGAGCGGGTTCGTGGATGCGCACTGCCGAGGAGTCTCATAATAGGACGATTTGGCCGTCCAGTGCTTCCAGGTTTTCTATGGTGGTCTAGCTTCAATTGACTCATGCTTTCAACTTTGAAAAATATACATATTTATTTAAAATTAACCGATATGGAGATGATGAGTATCAGGACTATATGCTATATATTAGCGTAATATATATTGAACAATCTGATCACATATATACTTGTTAAGAGCATTATACTAAGGTTTATTAAAGCTTTGTTCATATAAATACTCAAACCTCTTTTTATGCATTCAACGACAATTTGTTCTGAGCCTAAACCTATACTAGTAATATCGACTTATAATCCAATGTAATAAGCTTCACATTATTTTCTTTATTAACCTTATTTCTTTTTACATTCCATTTATCTGATTGACCTTTTATTTTTCATATATTAGTGTGCTGAACAAGTATACATATGTATGATCAGCCTTTCCGCACGATGTTCCGCTAATATATCACATAATTCTGATGATTTTCATCTTATAATGTTATCCAGCCTTCTTAACTGCTCCTTAGTCGCACAAAGTGTTTAAGTCTCGAACACCAAACAAAAAACAAAAGGTTGAAATTATGAGAGAAGCTTTAGTTTGAAGGTTATTTTCTGTACAAAAAACAGGTATTTTTCAGAATCATACATGACATTTAAATTCTAGCCGTTGATATCAGGCGTCAAAAACCTGATTCATCTGTTTAAAAGGAGATAGTTATTAATCTTTCTTTGCCTGAGTGACAAATACTCCTTCATTGCATAAAAATTCTTCTTTGACTCTTTCTTTCAATTAATTACATCATTACGTGTTTTTATTTAGACTATATTCTACATCAGTAACTTTATTAACTGAGCTTTACTCACTTTATTCTTATCAGCGTAATCAATAGTTTCTGGACGTTTGAACTCTTGTTACAATCAATGTCGTAGAATGTTCTTTAACATAAAGTACATATTTACAATACTTTTTTCATTGTATTAAATCTGTTTACGCCCTTGCTATACTGGTGTGTCTTCAAAATAATTTTCAACTAAACTCTTTCATGTAAATAATTAAAACCTATTTTGTAATTATGATTTTTAAATATTACAGACTTTAAGTAGCTAACGAGAATCGGACGAAATAAAATGAATTCTTGATATTATGCTCAACACTTTGTCCTTGATCTCTTCAACATCATAAAAGGAACTACATGAATGAAGATTATAGAATACCGTGAGAAATATGCTAACATCGGTAACGAAATCGATAATTATTTGATCAGGATAATAAAAACATAATCTATCATTTTCTAGCAAACTCTTAGTAGTTTTCAGAAAGAAAATACTATCTATTCTACATATTTTCTGCATTTTCTTGGCTTTTTGAAGACTTCTTGGAAAAATTATCAAGGATTCCTAATAGTAAATTTCCATGAAAGTGTTATATCTCGAAGACGATTATGAATGGTAACTTTTGAGAACTATTTATAGACCAATATGATACGCATATTTCCTATTATATAATTGTTAAGTAACTAAAATATTCATATTCACATCCCTCTTAGCATAAGCTTTATTTTGACCTGTAAACTATTATTATACGATTTACCATTCTTGACTTATCCCCAATCTATCAATTAATATTTCCCTTACAGCCACATTTAGCTAAATCTTGTACAAATGTTGTTTTCTACTTTATGGTACAATGTGGTCTGTTTGATTAGTATATAAACCCAGTATGTTTGATAATTATGATTCATATTGTAGAGACTGTTATTGATGTCCTGGACTTAACTGACTGAGCTAACCAGAAAGTAGGACCAACAATTACTCTAAACTCCTCATACGGGTTTCGTGAATCATTGGTCCGATCAATAAATTCACTACTCTCTCTAATAAGTGAGTACAAGATAATACCAGAAAAGTAAATAGTACACCTAAGTATAAATTAAAACAAAACAAAAATACAATAACTCAAATCAAATTACATTAAAACCTAAATGTTCTCATTTTAATTATGATTATCTTTATATATTGTTAAGAAACATTAATCATTAAAGTTGAATTCCATATCTTAATTATGCTTTAATTAGTAAACAAGGTAAAACAAAAATATTTTTTTTTCTTTTTTGTTTACATTTTATTCTTTATTTTTGTAATTAAAAAAAAGTTAAATCAGATAGAATATTTTAGTTTCTATGTTGAAAAGAATTTTTATTGAATAAAAGAAATAATATTCTAAAGGGGGTATATTTATGGTATTTTTGTGTTTCCAACGAAATATTCAATAAGTGTGTGTGTGTATATATATACATATACACTAGCGGACATATTCTCTCTCTCTTTGTGTGTATGTATGTGTGTGAATCTGTATAGGTGTTTTACACGTATGCGTACACACAGACATATAATCAATTCCTGTAAAAATACATAATTTAATCTTTTTTTTCTAAAAAAAAGTTTCTTTTGGTGTCTGAAAAAGATCAAGTTTTGTAATTATCTAGGTAGATGACATCATATTAGTTTAAAATTGTGTTAAATAAAGCTCAAGAGAAGTCGTTGAGGTTACATTGGGTCTATGAATTATACATGGATCCATAGTTTATTTTTCTGATTTAAACGTTGAATGAAATAAAACGAGCAGCTTTGAGCTGGAACTATTAGTTTTTAGATTCGAAGCTTATTATTTCATCTACGTCAATTCCACTAATCCCATCATTAATAAATATGAGTACCATCATGTGCTCACTAGTCACTGGCTCCATGAGGTATTTCCTGGAGTTCTAGTGAGAAGCAGTAACCAGTGAAGTTCAACTAGGTCTGTTGGGAGATATCAACTCACTGATGACATTGGTGAATGGTTGCTCAATTTCGTGGATCGGTTGAAGTTAGACATTAACACCGTTGGATACCGGCTCAGTGGTCTATTGGTTAATTGCTCTGACGCGAGACTAGTAGGTCCTGGGTTCGAATCTCGCGAGTGCGGGATTATGGATGCGCACTGCTGGGGAGTCCCATAATAGGACGAGACGGCTGTCCAGTGCTTGCAGGTTTTCCATGGTGGTCTAGCTTCAATTGACTCATGATCTCAACTATCAAAATTACTATAATATCCACAAAACCTTTTCTCCTAAAAATCAACATATGCTCACTAGTGACTGGCTTCATAAGGTGTTTCCTGGAGTCCTAGTGAAAAGCAGTGACCAGTGGAGTTCAACCAGGTGCGCTTCATTTGATTCATAATCTCAACTATCAAAATTTTACTTTTGTGTTATTATTCTAAATTATAACTATTTGAACTCTAATCCAGTACCTATTGTTTTGTATAGAAGTACATTTCACCGACACACGTCCCAAACTATGCTACTTAAAATAGAGTCAACTTGTAATTGAAGACTATATCGAAGTCACTGCTCATATTATCAACAGAGATTAATCAAATTACAGCTTTAATCATTAGTAAACTACATATATATAGTAGTATAGTAGTATATATAGTAGTTTCATGCTTTCACATTTTCTTTTATTTATTTCTTCTATTGTTGATAAATGAACACGTGCATTTAAGCTTTTATATGTCTGTCTTACTACACATCCGTCTGTATTCTTGTCTGTCTGTTTATCCCCCCCCCAAAAATAATTTTCACTATCATTAATTTTATTATTATGGTGACTTTTTTTTCTCCTCATAAAAAATGACATCCATATCAAAAATGAAATTAAGATTCCCACTAATTTATTATAACTTTACCTCTTTTTTTTTAAAAAAAAACAAAGAATATTGTCAAACTATCTATTCGATGAATAGGTTGAATATGTTATGAATTAATAGTTTGGTCAGTTTTATACTACTGAATACACAAACGAGAATATAGTAGTATTAAAAGACCAAATAAAATGTCATTGTTTAATTACTTTTATACACAAGAAAAAAGACTTTTTTACATGTATATTGATGTGTATGAGTAATTAATATGCCAGAAATGAATAAATCAGAGAATAAATCTATCGGTTAAGTGCTCTGGCGCGAGACTAGTAAGTCCTGGGTTCGAATCTCGCAAGGCGGGATCGTGGATGCGCACTGCGCACTGGTATGTACACATTAGTATAGATATACATATTCAGGTATGTTTAACTTTTTACTTTTACAAAATGAGTGTTAAATTTAAAAAAAAACATTAGTTTGAAGAAATAATTATAAAATTAATTAGTGTTAACTGAAAAGTCATTGAAGGAAGAAAAGAGTTAGGGAGGATCAGTTCCCTCAAAGATCTCGAGTACACTTTGCTGAAAAATGCTAGCTAATTAATACGAAACCTAGATCTAACAGGATGTTTTCTTGACTACCTCCACACCGTGGAAGGGTTCTTCTAGAGGTACCTGAAAAGGAAATTGGGTTAGAAGTGGTCTTAATGACCTGAGAGCGTGACCTCAGTGCCCAAGGGACAACTGCTTGAGGTCGGTCACACACGACCTTTTTGTGGGTAGTTTTTGTGTTAGCTCCGTTCTTCAAAAAAAACCTTACCGCCGGAGACGGATATCCGTGGGATAAGGCGAGGTGTGCGTTTCTAGGGCCGACCTTTTCTAACCCCACCCCTCCTTGTGGGAAGGCAGCATCGCTGCTATGCTGCTTGTCTGAAGGAAACACCTTACTGCTGTCACACCTCTGTACTTTCAGCAGTACGACTTCGCCTTTGGACCTAGGGTTTGCTGCTTTTAGTCTTATCGCTCTTCAACCGACCTGTCTGGCATGGTAGGACCTTGAGGAACGGTTGTTCCAGCCAGTTTTGTTTTAAACTTTTGCTTGAATAATATCATCCTAACTATATCTACATTTTGCACAGATTTCTAATTCCATCATTCAGTTGGAAGTTGTAATTACCATAAAAAATGGATGCAAAACTTTCATCGCTTACCATAAGTAACAAATTCTATTAATAATATCTTATTCTTTAAAATTATCAGTAAACAAATTTATTATGATGAAAAAATAGATGAAAATAGCGGAATTCGGATATTAATTTTTTTAGGAGATTAGTACTTAAACAGTTTTTTTGTACCCATTTATTCATAACTACTTCTATGAATCCGGTGTTCATCTTGTTGTGCTAACGAGGTATGGCAACTTGGACCGATGCACAAATGTGCCTGGTCCTACGTTGTAGCTAACTGACTGACTGACTGAGAGTCTACTCACCCTCTCCAAATTCTCTCACATGGACACATGCATACAACCACTGCCAGAAACATCCTACTCAATGCCTCCTCTAGATGATGGTGTTGTGCACAAAATTGAGAGGAAGAAAAGTGAATGTCCATGACCTTAACCAGGTTGGTGGAAATTGAGGGTCCAGCCAGGTGAGTTGGAAAACCTTGTTTTCAAACTAATGGTGCACATGGGCTCTAGGATCCTGAGGGAACAAAAGGTGTATGAACCTCTTTTTGGTCGCTGGCTATCATGGTACTGCATCTCCTAACATTGCTCTACTACCTTGTGGTTTAGACTTGTAGGTTAAAGGCTCGAGGAGTAGCCTCCTAAGAAAATCACTTGCTTCTATTCAGGCACCCAGGTAGTATTCCAGCCTTCACACAAATGGAATGATTTTTGTGGCGCATATATATTTGGTGTCTTCTTGTACCAACGTTTATGTGTTTAAATAAATAAAAATTCTATTTCTAAATTCTTGCAAGTTAATTATGAACATGTTTAGGTTTTGAATCGTAAATGTTCTAGTTAAATATATATTACAATTTCTTTTTCATGATGCGTTATGGTCTAGTAATTTATGTATATCATCATTTATTGTCTTATCCTTGATTTCTTATTGAGACTTACAAATAGGGATTCTGCATTTACCAATGAATTTTAGTATATCAGGTTATTTAATTGGAGCAATAATATTATTAGTTAAAACATAGCTATTCAAGACCATATTGGGATTACATGTATGAGAAGTGTTTTTCTTTTTTTGTTGTTGAAATAATATATTAAAATATTGAAAGTTAGACCACCATGGAAAACCTGGAAGCACTGCTTGACGGCCAAATCGTCCTATTGTGGGACTCATCAGCAGTGTGCATTCACGATTCTGCCTCACGAGATTCGAACCCAGAATCTATCATTCTCGTGCCAGAGTACTTAACCACTAGACCACTAAGCCGGCATTTGATGATGTTAGTTTTTTACAGGTTTTCCATGGTAGTCTAGCTTCAATTGACTTATGCTTTCAACTATGAAAATACTAAAATCTCCACAAAACCCCTTCTGATATTAAAATGTGATATTTTATACATTATAACAAAAGAATAATAATAATATTTACCTGAACTATTATCATTATTATTAGTTATTGATTCTGTAAATTGTTTATTGGTTAAACATTTTTGTGAATTGAAACTTGAACGACGTCGATTTTTCGATGGAGTTTGTATAAAATCATTTTCATTATTCAATTTATTATGTTCTTCTAATGGATTAGAAACTTGACGTCGTTTACCACGATATGAGTTATTTTGATGTATATGACTAGAAGGTATAATTGTTGTTGATATTTGATTAGATGAACTTGTAGAACATAATGAAGATAATGTAGATGGTGATAATGCGGGAACATTAAGTGAACATGATGGTTCTACAGGATGATAATTATTTGAATAATTAGCTGAACATATTGATGATGGCTATAAATAAATAAGCATAAAAATTGGAAATGAATGGGAATTGAAAAGAAGTACTGTATGTTAATAATAATAATCGCTTTTCTTCAAGATCCTTTTCTGGGTTACAGTAAAGGGATTCTTCCATTTAATATCCATCTCACTTGTAAATACATAATTAATTTGTGACAATGTTCGGATAAAGTAATGACCAAATGAAAACTGTTGTCGACTTTCGTTGACATGTATAAACTGTTTTCGTATGTTTTTCAGGTAATCGACGTCTATCGGTTTTATATATATGAGTTATACTACTGACCGTCATCATACAACAATGAATGGGATAATTTACATTCTATTTCCCTGTATATCGCGGTAGTTGCAATAAAACTTTCCTGTATTTCTTCTTAGTCATTCATAACTTTCATCTATCTGATTATAGGTTAGAGGAGAGCTAGTTAATGTTAAAATAAAACATAATATTTAACCAAGAAGTTACTAATAACTGTTGTACCACTTGAAAATCTGCTAACTACCTAGATGGAGTTCGAATGGTAATTGTAATCAATGATTGTAGAATTATTTAGATGGAGTGACTGAAAATAGGTTGAACTTATATAACCTTATTCATATTTTATATTCTTCTAAAATTGAAATTGAAGTCCTACTCACTGGCTTCTCGTGGCATTACTGTTGTTTACGAAATTGAGAGGATGAAAAGCGAATGTCTGGCTTTTTAACCGGGTTGGTGGACACGCAATATTCACCTAGGGGAGTTGGAAAACCCTGATTCCAAACCAATGGTGCACATGGGCTCCGGTATCCTGAAGGAACAAATGTTGTATGAATCAATTGTTGGTCACCCGCTACAATGGGACTGTATCTCCTCACGATACTTCACTGCCTTGTGGATCAGATCTCTAGGTCGAAGGCTCCTGGTGTAGATCCTTAAGAAAAGCACCTGTTTCAGTTTGGGCACCTTGGCAGTATGACAACCCTCACACAAATCGAATGAAATTTGTGTGGTGCATATATATCTCGTACCCCTTTGTACCAATATTTATATGTTTAAATAAATAAGTATCACAAACTCAATAATGGTTTTGTAAAGTAATCGATTAAATGAACAAATACATTAATCAATACATATATACTACTCAATTTCTTTTTTACTTATCAACTAATTCTTTCATATGAATTATTATTTCATTTATTTTATGTTAAAAATAGTAGTTAATACATCTTTCTTGTTTATCTTCTTTTCTTTTTTCTTTTTTTTTAAAAAAAACCTTTCAAACAAATTATAAATTTTAATTCACGTTTCAATTTGGATTTTTGTTTAAAAAATGTTGTAAGAAGTGGTTTGGCGGAGATTTAGTATGTTTCATAGTTGAAAGCCTGAGTCAATTGAAGCTAGACCACCATGGAAAACCTGGAAACACTGGACGGCCGTTTCGTCCTATTATGAGACTCTTCAGCAGTGCGCATCCACGAACCCACGCTCGCGAGATTCGAACCCAGGACCTACCAGTCTCGAGGTAGAGCCCTTAACCGATAGACCACTGAGCTGGCATCTATCAGGACTCAGTGGCCGAGTGGATAACGTGGTGGCATTTGAAGCGAGGGTACTGGGTTCGAGTCCCAGAGTGAACATCAACTCTGAGATGCAGGTACATCCAGCTGACGAGTCCCAAATAGGGCGAAACGCGCGTCCTGGATTCCACTGCTAGCCACTATCCATCTCTGCTTAGTATTGTTTGTTTGAATCTTCCCATTGATGTTTAGGACTGCAACTGGTCAGTCTCTAATTGACATATGTGCATACTGTGCGTATTGCCTCGATGTAGTCTAAATTCACAAGCATGCTAAGCAAAGATGTATAGTATCTAGCAGTGTAATCCAGTTTGACGGGCATTTCGTCCTATTTGTGACTCGTCAGTTGGATGTACCTGCATCTCAGAGTTGATGTTCACTGTGGGACTCAGTGACCGAGTGGATTACACGAAGGCGTTTGAAGCGAAAGATACTGGATTCGAGTCCCAGAGTGAACATCAACTCTGAGATGCAGGTACATCCAGATGACGAAATTCAAATAGGACGAAACGCCTGTCAAACCGGATTCCACGGCTAGCCACTATCCATCTTTGCTTACAGTGTACTGGATTGTTTTTATTTCAGTTTGAGGCTCTTGAATAGTGTACAGTCATAACTAAGCCTTAGATTGGATCAAGGAGCTGTAAATTTTAGAATAGCCATGACATCATTCTGTCAGCGGATTTAAATCCTACGATTCTTCTGTTTTAACTTCATTCATTTTGCGATATATATATATGCTGTGAATAATCAAATGAATCCACTTTTTTTCTATACGAAATTGAGATAGATGAGTTTGTTAAAATAAAGGATAAGATTATTAATTGAAATCTTCTCACGTGTGTTTTATTAAATTTTCTGCCTACAACCTTTGCATAACAGTAATTACTTAGAAATGACGTAGTATGAAATCAGTCAGTGAGCCACAATGTAGGACCAGGCACATATATGCATCCGTTCAAGTTGCCACACCTCATTATCACAACAAAATGAACATCAAATTCATAGAAGCAGTTACTTCAATGGTTACTTACTTACTTACTTACTTTCGCCTGTTACTCCCAATGGAGCATAGGCCGCCGACCAGCTCTCTCCAACCCACTCTGTCCTGGGCCTTCTTTTCTAGTTCTTTCCAGTTCTTGTTCATTCTTCTCATGTCTGTCTCTATTTCTCGGCGTAATGTGTTCTTTGGTCTTCCTCTTCTCCTTCGACCTTCAGGATTCCATGTGAGGGCTTGTCTTGTGACACAATTGGGTGATTTCCTCAAAGTGTGCCCAATCCACTTCCAGCGCTTCTTCCTGATTTCTTCCTCCGCTGGAATCTGGTTTGTTGTCTCCCACAGTAACTTGTTGCTGATAGTGTCTGGCCATCGGATCCGAAGTATCTTGCGTAGACAACTGTTAATAAACACCTGTATGTTCTTAATGATGGCTTTCGTAGTTCTCCATGTCTCCGCCCCATACAGTAGAACTTTCTTGACATTTGTATTGAAAATTCTAACCTTGGTGTTGGTTGACAATTGTTTTGAGCTCCAGATGTTCTTCAGTTGTAAGTATGCTGCTCTTGCTTTGCCGATCCGCGCCCTCACATCTGCATCTGATCCACCGTGTTCATCAATGATGCTGCCCAGATATGTAAAGGTTTCCACATCCTCCAAAGCTTCTCCATCAAGTGTAATTTGATTGGTGCATATTGTGTTGTATCGGAGAGTCTTGCTTTTCCCTTTGTTTATATTGAGACCTACTGCTGCTGAGGCTGCTGCTACACTGGTCGTTTTCTCCTGCATTTGTTGTTGCGTTTGTGATAGAAGAGCCAGATCATCCGCGAAGTCTAAATCGTCAAGCTGCATCCTGCCTGTCCACTGTATACCGTGCATTCCTCCAGATGTTGACGTCTTCATAATCCAGTCGATCACCAGGAGAAAGAGAAAGGGTGAGAGTAAGCAACCTTGCCTAACACCGGTCTTTACCTCGAACGAGTCGGTGAGTTGTCCACCGTGGACGATTTGGCAGTTTAGTCCATCATAGGAGTTCCGTGTGATATTTACTATCTTCTCAGGCACGCCGTAGTGTCGAAGAAGCTTCCATAGTGTCGTCCTGTCCACGCTATCAAATGCCTTCTCGTAGTCGATGAAGTTGATGTAGAGTGATGAATTCCATTCGATTGATTGTTCCACAATGATCCGCAGAGTTGCGATTTGATCTGTGCACGATCTATCCTTACGAAATCCAGCTTGTTGATCTCGAAGTTGGGCGTCCACGGAATCCTTCATCCTGTTTAACAATACTCGGTTGAAGACTTTTCCTGGTATTGAGAGAAGAGTGATGCCCCTGTAGTTGTCGCATTTGCTCAGATCACCTTTCTTTGGTATCTTGATCAGAAGTCCTTTTTTCCAGTCTGTTGGTACTTGTTCTTCGTCCCAAATCTTACTGAAGAGGATGTGGAGTATCTTGGCAGTTGCTGCTAAATTTGCTTTCAGTGCCTCTGCCGGGATGTTGTCTGGTCCTGCTGCTTTGCCGCTCTTGATTTGTCTAATGGCCATGCTGATCTCTTCAATTGTTGGTGGGCCAATATCGATTGGGAGGTCTGTGGGTGCTGCTTCGATGTTGGGTGGGTTCAGTGGAGCTGGTCGATTCAAGAGTTCCTTGAAGTGTTCTACCCACCTGTTTCGTTGTTCTTCAATATCGTTGATTACTTTGCCTTCCTTGTTTTTCACAAGGAAGTAAGTAAGTAAGTAAGTAAGTATTAGGATATAAAACAAGAAGAAAGAATTAGTTCGTATAAAGGTATAAAGTAATTTTAACCTCACAATTAAAGGGAAGACAGAAAGTGTATACGCCTACACCATTGTGATCGATTCTGAGCCAAGTCATACAGAGTCTTCAACCACTGGTTACGATAGTCGCGCCAACCCCAACCAATGAGTCTGGATCTACTAACATGGCTAAGACTAAAAGTTAGTGACTTGAAGACTGACGCCACGTTTTGGCTGTAGTATGAAATGATATATTTTTATAAAATAGTTTGTCTACACTAGTGTACACATGAGACAACTTCATTTGTGATATCACGGATGTATAGATGATATTTATTTATTTATTTCAACACATAAACATTGGTACAAAGGGGCACCAGATATATATGCACCACACAAATCTCATTGGATTTGTGTGAGGGTTGTGATACTGCCCTGGTTTTCTTAGGGGGCCACACCCGAAGCCTTTGACCATAAGATCTGATTCACAAGGCAGTGGAGCATCGTGAGGAGATGCAGTTCCATGGTAGCCGGTGACCAACAATTGATTCATACGCCATTTGTTCCCTCAGGATCCTGGAGCCCATGTGGACCATTGGTTTGGAATAAGGAGTAGTGAGTCGGACTTCTCTGACAGAGACTATATACTCTTCGACATGTGAGAGCATTTTGAGAG